TATATAGATATATAGTAGATACGTGTATATAAATAGATAAATAACTAGATATAAATACATGTATAGATTAGATAAATATGAGAGATACACAGAAGATAAATGTAGATAGATAAATAAATATATAGAGAGATAGACAGATAGATAGATACCGATAGGCGAACAGACAAAAAAAGACAAATAACAGGCTACTTTAGGAAAAGAAACAGCAGACAGAGAAGCCCCTCCCCCCCCAAGTATCTGCTTACCTGGCTTGGATGGGGAGGATGTGATGCTGTGTCACGTGCATTTCAGGGTGTGCCCAAGGCTGGGGAGGCCCGTAGGATGGGCCAGTGGAGACCCCGCTGTAAGGCATCTCATAGCCAGTGTGATAGGGGTCTGCCGTGTGCTCGTCCCTGGAGAATGAAAAATCAAATCCTTTTGTGCATACTCAAAAAGCAGCCCCCTTTCTCAAGAGAGCCTCAGCTCCTTGGTACAACCCCTGCGGGGAGACCCCCAAAGCCCACCTAATACATATCATTTGCTTATTGTAAGGCACATTCACATCATATTTCAGTAAAAAGGAAGACAGGGTAAAACACAAAACTCAGAATATAAAATCTGAAACCTGAACAGGAAGATTGCAGGCAAATATTTTTTACTTCATCTGTTGCAGCCAGGAAATCAGCAAAATCTGCATTATAGGCTCTGTTTGACGCCCTGTCACCATGTGTTAGTTAGCCCCACAGCCACAATTCGGTGACGGTATTTTGCCCCACTTGTGGAGAGCATCTGCCGTGGCCAGTGCGGTGTTCAGCCTAATACAAGACAGCGCCAGAAGACACAGCAAGAGAACCCACCAATCCCGCCTCATGCGTTTCTGTGGCGGACTCAGCTCGTGACGAGGGGGAGAGAACCGCTCCCGTCTGCTCCGGTCGTAATCTCGGTATTCCCCTCGGCTCCGGCGTTCACGGCCACGGTCCCATTCCCTAGCGGAAGGAAAGATTTCAGAATCTGCATCATGCTGTCGCTGCCTGGATTCCTTGCAGCATGTTGCAAACAGAAGGCTTAAAACCATTAAACCTCCCCCGTGAACTCAAGAAAATGAGGTTCAGAAACCAAATGCCTTTCCCAAGGAGTCTGTTTTGACTGGCTTTCTGAAAGTCATTCGAATTTCCAGGCGTAGAGAGTGCAGCTGTATTATGCAGGTTTGGTGGCTAGCAAACCCTGGATACTTTTCTGCCTACTCAAGGGGGTTCTTCATTGTATTTGAGCTTGGTGATGTTTTCTTGCAGTTATTTCATTACCCAAATTAGGTAATATTATTAATGCTAGGAAGGCACCAGAGGGAAGGACAAGAAACAACCGTTGGAAACTGACCCAAGAGAGAAGCAACCTGGAACTAAGGAGAAACTTCCTGACAGGGAGGACAATCAACCCGTGGAACAGCTTGCCACCAGAAATCGTGGACGCTCCATCACTGGAGGTTTTTAAGAAGAGACTGGACAGTCACTTGTCTGAGATGGTGTAGGTTCTCCTGCTTGAGCCGGGGGGGCTGGACTAGAAGACCTCCAAGGTACCTTCCAGTTCTATTCTATTCTATTCATGAGAAGGAGATGAAAAAGAGAATATTTTTCTTGCCATGCACATGTATCCATAACCCAAACTAGACTGTTGTTTCTCTGTGTCATATACATGGGTATATGCATAATTCTGTATTTGTCCTTAATATCATTAAAAATGCAAATCCTGGGCATATCAATAAAAATATAAGAAAAACGAATACCAGGATAAAAATAAACAGGACCGTTTAATATAAACAAGCCTGTGAGTAAAAAAGTTACTTACTGAGCTTTCATCAGCCAAACTACTGATGTCACCAGAGTTAAAATGCTAGGTGATTAGGGAGCTTGCCTATATACAGCTGCCTGTCTCTGCGCCCGGCTCCTCCAGCGCTATGTTACTCTGAAATGTGTTAAATTGATTCTCATCTGGCAGCCTGTTGGTGGATCTGATGATTGTAGCTCCCTCTCCCTGATCCTGCAAGGAACAACTATTCAGATGTTCCTGCTTCATACTCCCCCCTCCTTTTTTGTCTCTCCTTCCAAGCCGTTCGTTGTCTCCTCCCATAGCAGCTCTTGCCACCTCACCTGCAGCCCTATCACTCCAGTCCTGCCAGCTGCCATCTCGTTGTGGTGTCATAATTCTGTATTTATTTTTGTCATATTTATGTAGTGTATATTGGACGTGGTGACCCTTTGAGAGGTGTAATGTAATGAAATTTAATTTTAGGTATGCCGGTTAGTGTACATTCAAAGTGACAATAAAGTTGTTATTCTATTCTCTATTCTATTCTTCTAAAGCAGGGGTTCTCAACCTTGGCAACTTTAAGACGTTGCCAAGGTTGAGAACCCCTGTTCTAAAGAGAAGAAAAAGATGAAGAGGAGAAGGAGGAGAACTGTGGGGTCCTTGGTACTCTCAGAGCTGGGTGGTTTTCTTGCAGATGTTTTATGATGCAACTAGGGAACATCATCTGTGCTAGAAGAGAGGGGGTTTTGCAGAGGGAAGGAGGGAGGGGGGAAGGAGGAGGAGTTGGAGGAAAAAAGGACCGTGGGGTCCTGGGGGGGGGTCTCTGAGCTGGGTGGTTTCCTTGCAGACATTTCATGACCCCCAAGAAGGGAAGATCATCAGTGCTAGAGAGGAGGAGAAAAGGACTGTGGGGTCTTGGTGCCGTCTCAGCTTGATGGTTTCCTTGCAGACGTTTCATGACCCAACTAGGGAACATCATCAGTGCTAGGAGGGAGGGGGGATTGTGGAGAGGAGGAAGAGGATCGTGGGGAAGGCCTCCTTGCAGACCTTCCATGACCCAACCAGGGAGCCCCCTCCGTGCCAGGAGGGAGGGAGGGAGGAAAGGGAGTGGGCTTACATTTCTAGCCCGGATGACGTCCCCCAGTTTGGGCCAGGGAAGCCCTGCAGGGAAACCCCCCAGCTCAGAGACCCCCACCCTCTCGGCCCTGCGCCTCAGTTGCTCCTTCTCCAGGGCCTGCCCAGCGCCCCCCCTCCCCAAAAGCAAAGAGCCGCCCCTCCCTCCCCCCACCTGTCGCTCCAGTCGTCGCGGCGTCGGTCGTCCCGCTCCCGAGAGCGGTCGTAGTCGCTCCTCTCGCGCCGGAACTTGTCCCGCCGCCTCCGGTCGTACTCGTCGTCGCTGTCCGCCATGTCGCTGGGCAGAGAAGCCCCTGGAGAGCGGGGGGGGATTAGGCGGGGGGGCGGCCGGGGGGGAGGGAGGGGGGTCCCCCGAGGCGCCCTTCCCCGGGTGGGGGGACGGGGGACGGGAGGGGGGTCGAGTTGAGGCGGGCGCGCTCCTCACCGGCGAGCAGGGGCGGCGCGGCGGGCTCCAAAACGCGGCCTCGGCGGCGCGGTCACCTCGCCGGAAACCCGCTGCGTCTGGAGGACGCACTTCCGGCCCCGCCTCCAGCCGTGAGTCCAATGCGCCGGAAGTCCCGCCAGAGGGAGGCCGGGCCAAGCGTAGTTCTTATCCGCGAGGTGCATTTTCAAACACATCTCGGTTCTTATCCCGCGGGACGCTCGGGAGTACAGTTCCCATCATCCGCAGCCACGTGGGCCAAACTGGAGGAGGGGTGGCCGCAGGGATGAAGCCGGGAGGAGAGAGAATGGCTCAGAAGGACGCTCTAGCCCCAGAGCTCTACTTCCGGGGAGCGTTCGGGCCAAGGGCGTTTCACCATAGAGGCGAGAAAAGTCTAGAGCGGCAATTTAGAGTGGACTAGCCCGCCAAAGCGGCGACCGGAGAGCTAGGAAAATTAGAGTTATCTCCCCGACCCCCGAGGTGTCATTGACGGGTTCCTTCAGCCCGGGGTCGCCGCTTCCTGCCCACGTGGAGGGAGGCGGGACTTCCTGCGCTATTTTCAATTTTGGGATTTCTCTCCCTTTGCGCTTTGCAAACTTGCCTCCCTGCTCCCCTTCCCGTTGCAATCTTGAGAAGTAAGAAATTCTGCTTCCTTTATTGCGTCTTTAGGTCACCGTCTTTGTACCACTTGGTTAATCTTGCTTCATCTGCAAAAAGCTAAGCAGGCACAGATCGGGCTTGTACCTGGATGGGGCACCACCAGGAAAACCCAGGGCTTAAAGCTGGAAAACTTGAAAAAAGAAGTGCCAGGAGGCTAAAATGGCGAGCCACTGGCAGACCCCAGAGATAAAACTCCCACTGAGAGGCTTTGCCCACCTCATCCCAAAGTCAGTCCACAGACCTCGGATGGGACCCGCACACCCTTCTCCCCTCGGGGATGCTCACCCTTCTTGGCTCTCCAAGGATTCGAACTCAGAGGCCACAGAAAGGACAAGCTCGCCCCTGGCCTGCCAACATACCGTATCCTGCAAATGTCCCAGGATAATGTAGCACAGGGGTCGGCGCTTTTATGACTCACGGACTTCAACTCCCAGAATTCCCCAATGTAGCAGGATCCAATCCGAGTCAGTCACCGGGATCAGAGGTTGAGTCTTCCAAGCTTCTGATGCTGGAGCCCATCCTCAAGGAGCTTCTGTCTCTCTCCAGAATAATTCCCTATTCCTTGCAGCCAGAGCAGTTTAGCAGTTTCCAGTGGTGGTTTTGAGGCTGATGGGCTTGTGAGTTCCTAGACCGGATAATGGCTGGTAGCTCAGCAGGTTCCCTCCAAGACTCTTATCCTCTCTCAAGGCTGCTTCTCTGGACAGCAGGAGTTGTTAGTTGGGACAGCATCCTTCTGAGAGTTCCACCCCACCCCCCAGCTATGAGATAAATGGGGGGCAGTTGCCTCACCCGAGTGACCCAGCTGCAGTCCAGCTGTTGGGGAGGGCCTGCAGAGGGTACCCATGACCCTGTTTGGCCAGATGCAGAAACCACACAGCATGAGGATTCTGGACTCTCTTGGAAAGACCCCTTTGAGGGCAGGAAATTTAGTTGCTCGGCTTTGGGGGGGGGGGTTGCAACTGGCAGGAAAACATCGCTTTCTTACAAAACTACACATTAGTTCGGCTTGTGGCAAATTGCCCGGGATGGTAATACTTTTTATTCAGCAGTTCCACGCTAGATGGCTAGGGAAAAAAGGAGTGGTGGGCTTAACACACAGAAGCTTCCAGGCGTCCCAGCGGCCCACGCAGACGCCGCGACCCCGCTGGCTGCAGGCGCACAAAGACCCCCGGTCCCCTCGCTTCTCCTGGTAGGAAACCGCTTCAATTCCTCATGAAGCCCCCCCCCCCGTGCCCGGCAGGCTCCCCCATCCCACCCTGGGGCCAGGTCGTCCTCTCTCCTTCGGTTCCTGGCCCCGGGACGCCGAGGCTCCGGAAAGCAGGGGATGGCAGGGCAGCCCAGGCCCGGGAGGGAGCCGGTGTGGGGCAGCAAGCAAAGGAAGACGCTCATGGCTGTAAACGTGTCCGAGGGGGCCGAGAAAACGCATCCCCCCGAGTCCCTGAGGGCTGCCGGTGCCGGGACACCCGCTCCATCGGCCGCTAGCCTCCCAGGCGGATGCTCTGGATCATCTGGAAGATGGCTGGCAGGGGAGAGCCGGAGGGGAGAGTCACGGGCAGGTAGGGAGGACCCCCCCCCTCTTCCAAGCCCCCCTCCCCAGAGCGGCAGGGCGCTGCTTGGCAGACGGGCGCCCGGGCTCCTGGCCGCGTACAGAGCGCCCAAGAGGCCCCTTGGCTGCCCCCGCCTCACCTGCGCCCTGCAGGTGAGCCCGGCCCGTCCTCCCCCGGCTGTCTCAGCGGCCCTGGGGGGGGGGAGGCGGCGTCCGGGCGGGGGTCGCGCCTACCTGAGCCGCAGACCACGAAGACGAAGAGGGCCAGCAGCCACGGCCCCACCGGCGCCCTCTCCTCCGGGGGGCTCTGGGGGGGAGAGCGGTGCGTGAGGGGGGGAAGCCGCCCGGCCCGCCCCTGCCCCGCCTGCCCGCCCGGCCCCCGCCCCGTACCGGCGCTCGGTGGGGCCCGCCGCGCTGCGTGATGCTCTTGCTGTGCCGCTCGTTGGCCACCTTCATGCGCTGCACGCCGGGCATGGCGAGGGGCGAGCGGGGGCCGCCTGGCTGTCGTGGCGCCTCCGGCCGAGTCCTCGCCGCCTTGCCCCCCCCCCGCGCAGGCGCAGCGCGCGCCGCCCGCCCCCCCCCCCACGCCTCCCCTCCGCAGCGCAGCCTTATCCAGCTCCAGACGCGCGCCGCGGGGGCAGCGGGGCGATCCCGGCCTGGCGCCGGTTGCAAGGGAGCAGCCCCCCCGGGGGGATGCCATCCGAGGCCCCCTCCCGTCCCCGGAGCCCCGGCATGCTTCCTGCAGCGAAGCCCGGGAAGAAGCGGCTGCAAGCAGGACAGAGGCCGGTGGCCGGGTTGCAGCCCCCTCCTCAAAGACCCCCCGGCTCTTCCCAGCTCCCCCCGCCCCCTCCCCTTGCATGGCCCCCTCCGATCCCGCCCCCCACCCGAGACACAGAGGCAGCACAGCCCGGCAGCCGGTTCCGCCTTTTAATTTCAAGGCAACTGGGAATTGCTCTGGGTGGTGCTGGATGCACCCAGTCCTGAAAGGGGGAGGAGGGTCGGGGGGGGCAGGAAGGGCTTCCAGGGGAGGGAAAGGGAATCCTGGGAAGAGGCAGTGGGGACCAGGGAGCTTCTCCCCCCCCCCCCGCAAGTTCCACAATCCTTCCAGTCTCAGATCAGAGAGATTCAGCCAAAGGGCCTTCAAGGTCCTCCCGGCCCCCAAGCGAGGCTGTTGTTCTGGAGACGGACCCCCGTCTCCTCTCCCTCAAGGAAACTCACACCCAGGTGGAAAACCCACTTTGGGGGGTTCTGGGAAGGGAGACGGGCGTTGCTGCTGTCCTGGTGGCTCCTGGTTCACGTTGGAGACCCCAGCACCCCTTCTCCCGGCTGGGGAGGCATCCTGCTTTGGGGGGGGGGGCTCCACTGTGTGCCAACCGGAAGGGCTGGGTCAGGCGTGGCTCTCTGCGGGAGGCACCCTCGCCCGCGTGCTGGTCTTGGGCTGTGGAGGCCAGTCCGGGTCGAAGAGGAGCTCCTGGGCCAGGCGCTGATACTCGGCCCGGGGGACGGCCTGCCGGCAGCAGGAAGACACAGGAGCCGCTTCCCCCAGCTCCAGCTGTGGGGTAGAGAAGGGGCCACAGCCTGAGCGCCTGGCTGGGCTCCAGGAAAGGCACAAGGCGGCGGCAAGGCCTGGCACTCAGCCCTTCAAATCCATGCCAGGCTGAGCGGCCACAACTGCCCAGCCAGCCGCCTCCATGTCCACCCAGCCCTCCTGGCCTGCAGGTGGTCACTTGCGAGGCCCAGGCCCCCTCCCCTCTTCCCCCCCCAAAACAGGAGATTGTGCCTAGGAACAGTGTGTGCAACTCCACAAACATTGTGGGCTATTACAATCAAACAAGGGTCTGATGGGCTGCAGGTAGATCTTGGTCCGCATCCCCCACCCCAGCCGCAGCGTCTCTCTGGCTGCAAAGTGTGTGTGTGGGGGGGCTTCAGCCAGATTGGGAGGGGGGAACTCTTCTGCCTGTCAAAGCCAGGTGGGAATAGGTCCTGGGGGGGGGGAAGCCTTTTTATCAGCCCAATTCAAGAGCTGCAGATTCCCTTGCCTCCCCCCCCCCCCGCCCCAGAAGTGGAAGGGCTCTACCTGTGGGAAGGCAGCCTGCCTGGGATAGTCCTCCCTCCGCCTTCCGTAGCAAAGTTGCTGCCAAAGGATGTCGCAGTCGCACACGAAGTTCTGGGGGTGCAGGAGGAAGATTAGCCGGCCGTGGGGTGACTTGGGGCTGGGCCCCCTCCCCCCGCTCACAACCCCCCTCCTGCCCCCCCAACTGAGGGGAGCTGGGCGGTTACCTCCAGGCAGAGGGACAGCACCAGGTTGCTGAAGGCCAGAAGCAGCAGAAGCAGGCGCCACTCGTAGGGGATGCAGGCCAGCTGCGGAGAGAGCAGGCAGAGGTTCAGCCGGTGGGTCCTCTGCCCTGTTGAACTCCTGCCTGGGAAAGCGACTCCCCAGGATGAGGCTGGTTCCTGCTTCATTTCTGGGGCCCCAACCCTGCCCAAAATGTACAGGTAGTCCTCCACTTACAACAGTTCATTTAGTGGCCGTTCAAAGTCACGAGGTGGCTGAAAAAAGGCACTTAGGACCCTTTTTTCATAATTATGACCTGTGGTCACATGATCAAAATTTGGGACGGTTGGCTACTGGCTCGTGTTTATGATGGTTGCAGCGTCCCAGAGGGGTCACGCAATTCCCCCTTCGTGACTTTCCGGCAAGCAAAGTCAATGTCGAGGGGGGGAGATTCGTTTAACGACCGTGTAACTAATTTACCCACTGCAGTGATTCACTTCCCAACGGTGGCAAGAAAAGTCGTAAAATGGGGCAAAACTCACTTAACGATGGAATTTTGGGAGCGGAAGACTCCCTGTGTAATGACCCCTGCCTCACTCCGGGTCCCCGTTGCACGCTCGTCCTTCCACGCAGCGCTGGTGGTCTCCCCAAAATCCTGGGCCGAGGGGTCCTTCCCCCCTCGGCCCAAAGGCAAGAATGCTGAGCTTCTCTCCGCCCCACCCCCCAAGACCCAGACCCAGAAGACGCCAGTGGCTCCCCCTGGGAGGCCCCTCTCCTGGGGGAGGAGCATGCTGGAAGGGGGGGCGGCTGCTGACATGAGCCCCACCCCCCCTCGCACACTCTTCTGCAGCCGTCATGATCAGCTCCAGGCATGCTCCAGAGGGAGGCGGGCAGGGTCTATCTGACCCCTTCCTTGGAGGGAGCGGCCCAGATAAGAGGGCCAGGCGGGGGAGGGGGGCAGCCCAGAGCCTGGCGGTGTCTGCTGGCCACGTCCCTCACATAGTCCTCGGACAGCAGCAGACTCTTGTCCTTCCGTCCATCTGGGCGAGCAGGCAGGGCCCCTACCTGGAAGAGCCGGTCCAGGGCGGGCAGCGGCCAGAGCAGCAGCAGCAGGAGGAAGCTGGAGACCAGCAGGAGGGAGGCCAGGAAGAGGCCTGCGGGGAGGGAAGCTGGGGGTCAGTCTGGCTGGGGGGCTCTTAGGCCCACCCCGTCTGTCCGTAGGGCAGAGGTAGGTCACCTTGGCTCTTTTATGACTCGGGGACTTCAACTCCCAGAATTCCTAAGCCAGCATGGGGCAACTATGGCCCCCTCATGACTCGTGGACTTCAACTCCCAGAATTCCTCAGCCAGCATGGGGGAACTATGGCTCCCTTTATGACTTGTGGACTTCAACTCCCAGAATTCCTGAGCCAGCATGGCGGAACTATGGCCCCCTTCATGACTCGTGGACTTCAACTCCCAGAATTCCTGAGCCAGCATGGGGGAACTATGGCTCCCTTTATGACTTGTGGACTTCAACTCCCAGAATTCCTCAGCCAGCGTGGGGGAACTATGGCCCCGTCATGACTCGTGGACTTCAACTCCCAGAATTCCTCAGCCAGCATGGGGGAACTAAGGCCCTGTCATGACTGGTGGACTTCAACTCCCAGAATTCCTGAGCCAGCATGGGGGAACTATGGCTCCCTTTAGGACACATGGACTTCAACTCCCAGAATTCCTCAGTAAACATGGGGGAACTAAGGCCCCGTCATGACTGGTGGACTTCAACTCCCAGAATTCCTGGGCCAGCATGGCTCAGCTTGGAAACCTCTCCCTTTTCCCTCAGGGCTGGCTCAGGAATTCTGGGAGTTGAAGTCCACCAGTCATAAAAGAGCCAAGGTGGCCTACAGCTGGGCTAGGGTGGTGCAGCCGAATCAAAGGGCACCAAGTCTGAAGGGCCATAAAAGGCGCATTATTAAGGGAAGTCCTTGACTTACAGGTCATTTAGTGACCGTTCAAAGTTTCGACGGCACTGAAAAAAAGTGACCTACGACCGTTGCAGGAGCCCCCGTGGGTCACGTGAGCAAAAGTCGGACGCTTGGCAACGGGCTCGTATTGATGACGGGGTTGCAGCATCCTGGGATCATGTGATTCCCCCTTTGTGACCTTCTGACAAGGAGAGTCAATGGGGGATGGAGCCGGATTCACTTAGTGACCGTGTGACTCACTTAACGGCAGTGATTCACTTAACAACGGTGGCAAGAAAGGTCATAAACTGGGGCAAAACTCACTTAGGAACAGAAAGTTTAGGCTCAATTGTGGCCAAAAGTCAAGAACTACCTGTAAATTAATTATTATTATTATTATTAATAATAATAGAATAGAAAATGGAATAGAATAGAAATAAGAAATAGAATAGAAATAAGAAATAGAATAGAATTAAGAAATAGAATTTGTTGTTGTTAATTGCGAAGTCGTGTCCGACCCATCGCAACCCCATGAACAACATTCCTCCAAGAAATAGAATATAATAAATAATAATAGAATAAAATAGAATAGAATAAAAAATAATAGAATAAAATAGAAGAGAATAAAGAATAGAATAAAATAGAATAGAATAGAATAAGGAATAGAATAGAATAAGAAATAGAGTAGAATAAGGAATAGAAATAGAGTAGAATAGAATAGATTGTAAAATGGTTTGTAGAATAGAATAGAAATAGAATAGAATAGAATAAAGGAATGGAATGGAATAATAGAATGAAAGGAACAGAATAGAATAGAACAGGACAGAATATAGAATAGGATGGAATGGAGTAGAATCTCACTGTGGTTACATTTCCACTTAAAGCCTGGGAGAGCGTCACCCTGTCTCAACTACTCGCCCCAGGAATGGCAGCCCTGCTTGGGGCTGAAATCCCGGCCCGGGTATGTCTGTGTCCGGCTGAGCCGGCCCCTCACCGTTGGTCTGGGTGGGCTGCCGGAAGGGGCGTCCCTTGGAGAAGGCGAGGGCCACGAAGACGTACTGGAAGCAGGAGATGAAGAAGAGGGTCGTGTTTTCGTAGCTGCGTATGGAGTCGGGGTCCTGCCCCTCCATCTCCCGGGGGGCAGTGGCATTTGGGGGCGCTGAGCCGTTGGTGGGGAGGCCGCCGCAGCTCCTAAAGGGGGAACCCAGAGTGGTCACTGCAGCGCCCCAGGAAGGGCTCCCTGGCCTGTGCCAAACACGGGAAATCCGGAACTCAGGCCCTTCAAGGGAGCATAAAGGTTTATCGCCAGCTTAAATTCTCCAGAAGAATATGAACTATAGGAGGTCCTGAACTTACAACGGCTTGTTTAGTGACCATTCGGAGTTAAAACGCCACTGGAAAAGTGACTTGTGACCTTTTTTCACACTTACCTTTGCAGCGTCCCCGTGGGTCACGTGATCAAAAATCGGACGCTCGGCAAACTGGCTCGTATTTATGACGGTCACCGCGCCCTGGGGATGTGTGTCACGTGAACCCCCCTTTGTGACCTTCTGGCAAGCGAAGTCGATGGGGGGGAGGGGCAGATTCCCTTAACGACCGTGTGACTTAATTTACCCACTGCAGTGATTTGCCTACCAACGGTGGCAAGAATAGTCGTAAAATGGGGCGAAACAGAATTCTTGGGCTCCACTATGGTCATAAGTGGAGGACTACCTGCGCTAAACAGTCAAGCAAATTGGCGGCAGGTAAGAATTCCGTGGAATTCAAGGCCGGGCTGGACTCCGGTTTCTTGTGGAGCGAAGGGACTCGAGATAAATGGCACGCTTGACCCCTCCCTCCCTCCCTGCCTCGGACTCAGCCTGTCAATCTCCTGCACTCCGCCCCCGCATAGCCCCCACTTACTCCTCTTGGTACCATGGCTGCTGCTGGACGAGGAGGAAAGCCCCCACCTGGAAGGTGAGCGACAGGAGGATCTGGCTGAGGACGGAGAGAAGCAGCTGCGGGGAGACCAGGCTGCTGGGCGGCCGTTGCGGGACCAGCTCCCTCCAGGCGCTGTTCAGGCTCACTGGAGGAGAAGCGACGAAGGCGGGTCAGAACCGGCCCCTCCAGGCGCAGACCCTCTCTGTGCACCCTAAAACCCCACAGCTCCTTCAAGCTGGTGCAACAGACCTTTCAACCTCTGCTGTGTGGACACAGCCCTCCCTTCCTGCCCGGGTAGACGGACACAGGGGCGCCCCTGGGCTGCCCACCGTAGACGGCCAGCCGACTCCGGGGGGGAGGGCTCATCCGCAGGAGGGCCCAGCGCAGCCAGAGGTCGAAGGAGGCAAAATAATCAAAATAATCCCAGCTATCCAGGGAGTTCTTGACTCAAAATTTGTTTAGTGACCCTTTGAAGTTGCGACAGCGCTGAAAAACAGTCGTTGTCCATTTTTTCAGTGACCTTGGCACTAAACGAACTGCTGGGAATCAGGGGCTACCTGAATCTGGTGTGCTCGCAACCGTGAGTCATTTATAGAAATAATAAAGGCAGCTTCAAAAAACAAAAGCCAAATGGATAAGACTGGACAACTGACCCTCGCTGGTGGAGGCGCACTTACTGCTGAAGGCCAGAGACAAGATGATCGCCATATCAATGAAGAGATACTGGACGTCTCCCAGGTTGCCCAGAACCTGGAAAGAGAGGGTAAGAGTTCCCATCATCCCCTGACTTCACCCCATCTCAGGGCGGGGGTCTCCCCAAGCCCCAGGCTCACCGAGTAGAGGAGCAGGACGCTGAGATACTGGATGATGCTGTAGAGCGACATGAATTTGAAGACGCAGAAGGAGGTGACCAGGGCAGCACGGCCCTCCCTGCGGGGGGGGGGGGGGACAGAGAGAGACACCTTCAAGGGGGGGCAGAAAAAGCATCTCCCTCCACCTGGGATGGATCTTCCCCCGGGAGTGTCTCATGCGAGCCCCACACCCCCCCACCCAGCAGCAGCCACCTACCGGATGAGGTCCGGCACGCAGGCGATGCTGGGGGTCTTGGAGGTGAAGGGGGAGGCCACCGAGGCTTCCAGCTCCGACAGGGAGATGCCCGCCTGTGCCCGCTTCAGAGCCTGCCCAGAGGAAGGAAAAGGCCCCCCCGGGCAGGGCAGGGCAGGTCTCGGCTGGGAAGTCCTGGCTCCAAGACCCCCCACCCTCTTTTACCCTTGTGCGCTTTTACCCTTTTTGCTTTTGCCTCTGCTTCTTTTTATCTTAGCTCACTTCGCTTCTACTTCTTTTTTACGTCGCTTCTCCTTCTATTTCTACTTTTCGTTTCATTGTTCCATTTTGTTATTTTATATACGGTGTTAAATTTGTTATAGCAGGATGCCCATCTCACAGAAAGGCGGTTCTGGGTGGCGTACGACCTCAAAATAAAACCCTAAATGAATACTTATTTATTCATTCATTCATTTGTGAGTTTCTATAAAAGCGTAAAATCCCAATAAGAAATGCGGGTTAAAACTAAAAGGTAAATAAATGAAACTCTCAGTCTTATTATTTCTTTATTCAACTGATAACGCCCTTCCGCTGGCAATCCAGAAAGACTAGGGCTGCTGATAAGGGCATTAAAATAACTAGTGTCAAACCACAGAAAGCATTAATTTTAACGAACCGCCCAAGAAACCGTGCGGTGGGGGGGGAGGCGCTGCTTTCTCTCTCTCTCTCTCCTCTTTCTCTTTCCTCTCTCTCTCTCTTCTTTTTCTTTCTCTCCTTTCTTTTTCTCTCTCCTCTTTCTCTCTTCTCTCTCCTTTCTCTCTCTCCTCCTTTCTTTTTCTCTCCTTTCTCTTTCTTTTTCTTTCTCCTTTCTCTTTCTTTCTTTTTCTTTCTTTCTTTCACCTCTTTTCCTCTCCTCTTTTTCTTTCTCTCTCCTTTCTCTCTTCTTTTTCTTTCTCTCTCTCCTTTCTTTTTCTCTCCTCTTTCTTTCTCTCTTTCTTTCTCTTTCTCTCCTTTCGTTCTCTCTCCTCTTTCTCTCTTCTCTCTTTCTCTCTCCTTTCTTTTTCTCTCCTCTTTCTCTTTCTTTTTCTTTCTTTCTCCTCTTTCTTTTTCTTTTCTTTCTCCTCTCTTTTCCTCTCCTCTTTTTCTTTCTCTCTCCTTTCTCTCTCCTCTCCTTTTCTTTCCTCTCCTTCTCTCTCTCCTCTTTCTCTCTTCTCTCCTTTCCCTTTTTCTTTTTCTCTCTCCTTTCTCTTTCTCTCTTCTCCTCTTTCTCTTTCTCTTTTCTTTTTCTTTCTCTTTTTCTCTCTCCTCTTTCTCTCTCTCTATTTCTCTTTCTTTTTCTCTCTCTCTCTCTCCATTCTTTCTCTTTCTGTCTTCTCTCTCTCTCTCCCTCCCTCCCCGCCCCCCGAATGCCCGTCCAGGGGGCTAGAAGGGAAGGACAGATCTCCCCTGCAATAGCAAGAGGGGGGGGGGCACAGCAGAAAAGGCTTTTCTCTTAGATCAGGGCTTTAAGACTGGCTGGCTGGGGGATTCTGGGAGTTGAAATCCACAAGTCTTAAAGTGGCCAAGATTGGACATCCCTCTCCCAGACCTCCCACATGGAAAGTCCTTGGCCAAGGAGGTCTGGAGGCCTCTTCTGCTGCAGTGAGTGGGCCAGACCAATCCCAGGGGGGGGAGGGGGCAAGACCCTCAGATAACCTGCTCTCCATTTGAGGTTCCCCACCCTGCCCCTGAAGCCAGCAGACATTGGCAAGCCCCCTCCCCTTCCAGGCTCGCCCAAACCGTTCCCTGTGTAGGGCAACCCAGATGGGACCACTCACCCCGCAGTCGTTGGCGCCATCTCCACACATGCCCACGCAGTAGCTGCAAGAAGCCAGATAGGTCAGGAGAGGGAGGGGGGCTCCCGCCGCCCTCTGTCCTGCTCCAAGGGGACCACCCTTCTCCCCCCCCCCCCGGCACCTACTCCATTTTCTGCAGGGCTTCCACTAGCTGCGTCTTCTGATCGGGGGCCATGCGGGCGTAGATGGTGCCACAAAGCAACAACTGCAACACAAAGCAACAGCTGCAACTTGGGAAGGGGGGTAGGATCTGCAGCCTCCTCCAGGAAACCAGCGCCCCCCCCACCCCACAGGCCTCCCCTGTCCCTGCCAGGGTCCCACCTTCGGCAGCAGGTCTGGGAAGTGATCCAAGAGGACCGCGAAGGACTTCCCCCCCATGGCAAAATGGTAGCTGGTGTCCGGGACGGCTGGCTGGGCAGCAGGGGGGGGATCTGCGTCGTCCACCAGCAGCTTAACCTCTGGAGGCCCCTGAGGGAGAAGGGAAAAGGGCACTGTGGCCAACGCGGCTGCCCCCCACGTCCCCTGGAAGAGGGTCAGGAGACGCCGGAAAGAGGCTCTCACCTGCTGCTCTTCTCCCGGGCTCACTGCCGGGTCCGCCATGGGGAATTCATCAGCATACTGCCAGTGGATGGTTGCTGGCTGCCCGTCCCTGGGGGGCAGAGCCTCCGTCAGGACCACCTTCCCCTTGGACGGGATCATGCCACACTCCCGGCCCACGGAAATGGCGGTCAACAGATTGTCTCCTGGACCGTGGAGAGCAGGAGAGCGAGGGGGAGAGGGAGGAGGAGGATGAGGAAGAGGAGAAAGAGCAGGAAAAGAGGAAGAAAAAAGAGGAGGATGAGGGGGGGAAATGAACACCATCACTGCAAGACCCCCAATCTCGCCCCCACTCAAGGAGAGCAGCCCTTTGGTTTAGCACCTGCCCCCTCCCTTACAAATTCTGAACCAGCTCTGCAAGGGAGAAGCTATTATTGTTGCAACAAGTTTGCCAGTGTTCCCCCCGGGGTGGGGGGAGGAAGCAGATAATATGTGCTCACCGGTCACCATGACGGAGCGGATGCAGGCCCGCCGTAGCTCGGCCAGGATCGGCACCGTTTCCGGCTTCAACTTGTTCTGCAGCAGGACAAACCCCAGAAAGTCCATGTTGACCTCCACGGCGTCCCTGGGGGAGAAACGGGCAGCCGTTGGGGCAGGGCTGGGCCTGCAAGGGCCCCGTCCGGAGGAAGGACCCTCAGGGCCACGGGGCAGCCGTGACTCACCGGGAAACATGGTGGATTTTGTGCCACATGTATTTGCTTTCCAGTCGGCGGCTGGCCAGAGCGATGACACGCAGTCCTCCTCGCGTGTAGGACTCCAGCACAGAGGAGAAGTCGTCTGGAACTGAATGGAGGCATTGGGGAAGGAACGGGGCCAGCCTCCCCCACCACGGGTGAGCCGCTCGGGCTGTGGCCGAGACACCGAGGGCTCCATGTCCCACAGCTGTCCCCCCCGTCTAGTTTTCGCAGGGGCGTCCTTGGAGGGACTGGCAGCCCGGCCGGCCAGGGGACAGCAGCAACCTCTGCCGTGTGTCCTCCCCTCTCCCCGTCCCTTGTCCGCAAAAGACAAAAGATTACCGGTCTCCTTGCGGCAGAGACTGCCCACCGTCTCTGGCGCGCCTTTCATGTAGGCCACCAGGTGCTTCTCGCCCAGTGTACGCGTCACGACACTCATGCGCCGCAGGCCAGAGGAGAAAGGGTACTGCGCCAAGATGCCAATCTGGCTGCCTCTCTGCAAGGGGGGGGGGGGAAATGAGAGAGGCGGGGCAGAGAAGGTGGCACGGAGGGTCAGAGCGCTGGGCTCAGGAGGGCCCTCTGGTTGCCCGGGAGGAAATGGGGCTGCCCCACTTACCATCAGGTCCAGAAGCTCCTAGAAAGAGAGCAGAATGAAGGGTCAGAGTTGAGACCGCCAAAGCCCACAGCTGGGGCCCCAAAGCCCATCGCCGTGGCCCCTGCGTTCCTCCAGCCTCTCTGCTCACCTTGTCCCCAGTCGGTGCCTCGGAGGGTGCTGGGAGCCGGCAGCCTGGCGGGTGGACAACGGTGGGCTGGATTCGGTCGTGGAGGGCCGTTTCCTCCTGGGTGGGCTCCTCCAGGATCTGGTTGGGGAGGAGGAACAGCTGCGGCCCCACGACTCGAGAAGCACAGGCTGCCTTCCGAGCCACCCCACCTTGGTGCAACCTCTGGCACCCCGGACCGTTTGGGCGGGCACGTGTCCAAAGCGCCAGAGTCAACGCAGCGAGGCGAGAAGGCCTCGCGCACTCACAAGGAAAGGCGCAACAGCCTTACCCAGCCGGTGGCCGCGAACATCCTGAGGTCGAGGGGGTCTCCCGAGAGGCGGCCCTCCAGGGTGGTGAGCGAGTGGCAGGCGGCCATGGCAGCGACAAACGGGGAGCTGGCCAGGCGGGGGTCACAGACATCTCTCCCCATTGGGAGGAAGCTGGGAAGGAAAAGAGCAGAGCTGACCCCTCCCCTGATCGCAGCTGAACCTTGCCGGCCAGCCCAGAAGACCTGGCAGGGCCTGGGAGGACAAAGGGACATTTTCTGGAGGGGGGCAAGGGCGGAACATCCAGTGATAAGGCTGCTGCCACAATCCCCAATAAAGTTTTGTGCATAATTGCGTGGATTGTGTCTATGTGCTTACATCTCCTCTGCCATGTTCTCATCACAGGCTAAATAAATATATACAGGCAGCCCTGGACTCAGCTGAGTCCAGAATTTCTGTTGCTAAATGCAACGTTTGTTAAGTGACTTTGTCCTCGTTTTACGACTTTGCTTGCCGCCGTTGTTAAGTGAACCACTGTAGTTGTTAAGTGAGTCACGTGGCAGCCGACCACAGCCACACAACACCTGCCCCCCCCCAGCCCACTCACCGTCCCTCCTGCGCTTGCACGAACCCCCAGAAGTCCAGGCCGTCTTCGGTCAAGGTGCCGGTCTGCAAGGGGGACAGCATGCCGGTCGGTCGAAGAAGAGCTGCCCCTCCCCCTCTCCCCAGGGAACCAGAGGGGGGAGGCACCTTGTCGAAGCACATCAGGTTGAGCTGCCCACAGAGGTTGATGCGCTGGGGGCTGAGCGAGAAGATCTGCTTCCGGCGCAGGCGCCGTTGGGCGTAGACCACCCCGGCTGTCATGGCTGCCGGCAAGGCGGGGGGCACCGTGATGGTGAGGATGTCCAGGGATTCCAGCACGATGCGGCCAACGGGCTCCTGGCCAGGGGGGAGAAAAGGTGGGCCCTTCGGTCAGCGCTCCCCCCCCAAATTCTAGAGATGCCCAGTTTGATTTATTGTGTCTGTCTATTATCTATCTATCTATCTATCTATCTATCTATCTATCTATCTATCTATCTACCTACCTACCTACGTATCATCTATTTATTCATTCATCCATCTGCCAACTATTATATATATCTGGGTCTGTCTGTCTATCTCTGTATTTCTATCTCTCTATTTCTCTATCATGTATCTATCGATCATCTATCTATCTATCTGATCTCTACTTCTATATTTATCTATCATCTATCTATTCATTCACGTATCCATATCTATCTATCTTTCTACCTACCTACCTTCCTACCTATCATCTATTTATTCATTCATCCATCTGCCAACTATTATATATACAGTATCTGGGTCTGTCTGTCTGTCTGTCTCTATCTATCTCTATATTTCTATCTCCCTATTTCTCTATCACGTATCTATCTTTCTATCTTATCTATCTTATCTTATCTTATCTTATCTATCTATCTATCTATCTATCTATCTATCTATCTATCTATCTATCTATTCATTCATCCATGTATCCATATCTATCTATCTATCTATCTATCTATCTATCTATCTATCTATCTATCTATCTATCTATCTATCCAATGTGCATGCCACCCATTCTCCCCTGGTGCCTCTGGGCAGCTTGCAAATTACTGTATGATGGATTCCTTGCCACTGTACCGACCTGGGCGCTGCTGAGAATGGGGGTCTAGTTGAAGAGTCCCCCCAGCCCGCCCCTCTCCCTCCCCTCCATTCGCAAGGGGGATTCCTCAGCAGCTGAACCAGCCCCTGCCCTCCATGCTGCCCTCTGCGTGGACACCCACGGCCTGCTGGATGCTGCGGATCACGGAGTACAGCATGCCGATGCCAGCCACGCCCACCAGGCAGAGGAGGAAGCGGAAAGCGTCCCGGAAGAGGCGGAAATCGGTGGGCTTCGGGAACAGGATGGAGCAAACGAGCTGCCCCTTGGAGGTGGAGAAGCCTGGGGAGAGAAGGGCAGAGGATCAGCCCCCAGGAAAGCACATTTACACACACACACACAGACACACTGCCATTTCGAGCCAAGCAGGGCCTCCTCACCTGTCCGGATCACCAGGGCCCGTACCGGCTCTCCGGAGTAGTACCGTGTTTGGAGGACAGAGGTGCCGCAAAAGAGCGTGTGCCGCTTGTGTTCGTCTGGGTCGTAAACCGGATCCCGGAGGGGCCCGCCTTCCTGGGCTGGGACGGGCAAGGCCGTCTTGGTGACAGGGACGCTCTCCCCTAGCGAGGGAGGAAGATCAGATGCCAGGAAGGACGCGCTTCCTGGCTGCCCCACAGCCCCCACCCCTACCTGTCAACATGCTCTCGTTGACAATGGCCGTCCCACTCAGCAGCACGGCGTCGCACGGCATGGTGAGTCCCTCGGGAGGCACCAGAAGGACGTCCCCCGGCACCAGCTCCGTGGAGAATGTGCCTTCCGTTTCTGCAAGGAAGAGACTCCAGATTCGGGGATTCGTTGGGGCTTACCCCACTGGAGCACCAAAGGGGGCAGTGGGCCCCGAGGCTTTGGTCCGCCAGTTGCAGCAAGGGGCTTCATCCCAACCAGGGTCCAATGTGCGCCCGCCAGCACCCTTTCCTGACCCCCACTGGCGCTTCCCCCTGGTCCAGGGAACGCGTCTCCTCTTTCTCTCTCCAAGGCACCGACCCTTTGGGCTTCTCCAGGTTTCCTGCCTGAGCAGGGGGTTGGACTAGATGACCTACAAGGACCCTTCCAACTTTATTATTAATATTGCGCTTGTTATTATTATTATTATATTAACCAAAGGTCAGAGATTGGAGTCCTGGTGGATGATCCCTTAAAGGTGAGCCAGCCCTGTGGCAGCAGCCCAAAATGCCAATACAATCTTTGGTTGTATAAACAGAGGCACAGAATCAAAATCACACAAAGTATTAGTACGGCTTTTTTAAAAAGCCTTAGTAAGGCTACTCCTGGAACCTGCATCCAGTTTTGGTCACCACATCACAAAAAAGATGTTGCGACTTTGGAAAAAGTTCAGAGAAGAGCAACTAAGAGGATCCAAGGCCTGGGGACCAAAACATACAAAGAACAGCTACAGGACTTGGGTCTGGCCAGTCTGGAGAAAAGAAAGACCAGGGGAGACAGGATAGCAGTGTTCCAGTATTTGAGGGGCTGCCCCAAAGAGGAGGGGGGCAACTTATTTTCCAAAGCACCAGAAGGCAAAAAAAAAGAAACAATGGATGGAAACTAATCAAGGAGAGAAGCAACTTAGAATTAAGGAGAAACTTCCTGACAGTGAGGACAATTAACCGGGTGGAACAGGTTGCCCCCAGAAATCGTGGGCATCCCATCACTGGAGGTTTTTAAGAGGAGACTGGACAGCTGTCTGAAATAGGGTCTCCTGCTTGAGCAGGGGGTTGGACTAGAAGACCTCCAAGGACCCTTCTAGCTCTATTCTGATTGGGGCCGACTCACCACAGGGACCTCGGACGACGGTGACCCGGACGACGTTGTGGGCCGAAACCATCCCGTGGAGCAGCACATATTGCTGGAAGAGGAAGGGCTGGGCTCAGGGCCAGGGCACGCCTCAGCCTCCGCCGGCCCCAGCCGCCTGGCCCTTCCCCGCCGGCCCCCACCTTGCGGATGGTGTAGAGGGAGGAGCCGATGGAGACGAAGGACATGAAGAGGATGGTGGACGCGTAGAGGTAATAGTCGTCCAGGGACCACAGGAGGACGCTGAAGGCTTGGAAAATGTAGAAAGGGTTGAGGACCTGAGGAGGGAGGGAGGGAGGACACGTGGCCAGGGGTCAGGGGTCGGTCTTGTGGCTCCTGGGCCCCCCCTCCCTCAGCCCCCCAGACCCACCTCTTTGATGAGGAGGTGGGCCAGGGACGGCACTTGAACGTCGATCTTGTTGGCGCCGTAGAACCTTTTCCTAAGAAGAGAGTAACGTGCTCGCCTGTCCCCTCTTCCCCCCAGCAAGCCCCCTCCCAGCTCCAATACCACCTCCTCACCGGTAGTCCTGGGTGCTGCGAGGGAGGCCCCCGCCGTGGCCAGAGTGCAGGGAGGAGCAGGGCTGCCCCCGGTCCAGAGCGGTGAGTCGCCGGAAGGCCTGGGCCTCCGTCGCCCAGAGGTAGCGCACGTTGCGGTGCGTGAAGAAGCGGACCTGCGGCACAGCAAGACGGTCAGCCGCATCCCTGGCGGAGGAAGGGGGGGCTGCGACAAGGGGCCTGCCCCAGCTCACCTGGGCCTGCTCCCCACAGGTCAGTGGGGAGAGAAGCCGCTCCTCACAGCCCGGGTCGTCCGTCAGCCCTGCTGGGCACAGGGGCCGCTTGCTCTCCGGCGGCTGCGGGAAGCCCAAGGGGTCGGTGCCGGGGGCAGAGAGAGAGGAGACCCGTTCCCTGGACCAGGTCTGGAACTCGTCCTGGAGGAGGGGGGGAGGGGAGGAAGAGGAGATGAAGAGGAGGAGAATATGAAGAGGAGGAGATGGAAGGAAGACAAGGAGGAGAGGAAGAAGAGACGGAAAAGGGGAAGGAAAAAGAAGAGGAGGAGGAGATGAAAAGAAAGGAGGAGAGGAGGGGAGGAAGAGGAGATGGAAAAGGGGAAGAAGAGGAAGAGGAGGAGGAAGAAGGAGGAGGAGGAGGAGGAGGAGAAGAAGAAGAAGAAGAAGAAGAAGAAAAAGAAAAAGAAGGAAGAAGAAAAGAGGAGGAGGAAGGAGAAAGAAGGAAGAAGAAAAAAGGAGGAGAAAGAAGGAAGAAGGAAGAAGAAGAAGAGGAGGAGGAGGAGGAGAAAGAAGAAGAAGAGAAGAAGGAAGAAGGAGAAGGAAAAGGAAAAAGGAAAAAGAAGGAAGAAAGAAGAAAGAGAAGGAGGAGGAGGAGAAGAGAAGAAGAAGAAGAAGAAGAAGAAGAAGAAGAAGAAGAAGAAGAAGAAGAAGAAGAAGAAGGAAGAAGGAGAAGAAGGAAAAGAAGGGAAAAGGAAAAAGAAGGAAGAAGGAAGGAGAAGAAGGAGGAGGAGGAGAAAGAAGAAGAAGAAGGAAGAGAAAGAAGAAGGAAGAGAAGGAGGAAGGAGGACAAGAAGAAGAAGAAGAAGAAGAAGAAGAAGAAGACGAAGAAGAAGAAGAAGAAGAAGAAGAAGAAGAAGAAGAAGAAGAAGAAGAAGAAGAAGAAGAAGAAGAAGAAGAAGAAGAAGAAGAAGAAGAAGAAGAAGAAGAAGAAGAAGAAGGAGGGAGAATTTGAACTTTGCCCTCGGTGCCACCCGGACCATGCCCTGCTCCACAGCCCTGGGGGAGCAGCAGCCCAGAGTCGTAGGAAAAGACGCTACCAGTGGGGCACAGAGCTGCCCATCCGTGGGACGCAGAACCCAAGAAGGCCACCTGCACCCACCCAATGCCCGCTTCCTTGGGCCCAGAAGGGAGGCCTCTTCCCAGCCTGACAAGGCGCCCCTGCTGGCCCTCGGGCACATCCAGGAGTGCCCCCCACCCGCAGAGGGTCCGGCTTGCGAGGGAGCCCGCTGGGGCAGGGAGGGCCTCGCCGGGGCCCCTACCGTGGTTCTCAGCAGCACCAGTTGGGCATCCCGGAGCGGCACAGCCCGGCAGGTCCACTTGACGCTCAGCTCCGGCAGCCAGTACAGGAAAAGGAGGAGGAAACCGCCACTGCAGACGGTGCCCAGCGAGACCAGCGCCAGCTTCCAGCAGCAGGGGCTGTAGCCCCGGATTTCCTGGGGAGGGAACGCAGTCAGACCGGCCGTGGACCCCGAGAGGGTCCGTCTCAGAGGGGCTACGGCAGGGAGACGGCCTCAGGAAGCAGCAGCGTCTCCCCTGGCTCCCGAGACCAGCTCCCGTGGGAAGGTGAGGGTGGTGGACAGGACAGGCCCCGCCAGGGGCCACGAGGACCCAGCCCAGGCCGACGCTGGTGCCCCTGCATAGGAGGACTCCGGCCTGGTGGCAGCTCCTGGGCGGGGGGGGGCACAGCACCCACCGGGGGAGGCATGGCAAAGGGGGCCAGCCTTGAGCGCTGCACCAGGCTGTCCAGCCCAGAGGGCAAAGGGCCGGCATAAGGGGCCCGCCCGGCCGTTGGCACTGCCCCCAACCAGCTGCACTGACCATTTCATCCTCCTCGTTGCAGTTCACATACGCTGTGGTCGTTCTCGCCATGCTTCCTTTCTGTGGGTCACGCGCCTACCCCACTGCCAAGCTCCTGTGGGGCAGGAGAGGGCAAGAGCTGAGCCCTCGGCCAGTCATCCCCTGCCCCACAGCCGGCCAAAGGGGGCTGGCAGGAAGAACAGCCCCTCACCCCACATGCTCCTCCAGCCTCCTCCCCCCCAGCCGAGCCCCAAAGCAGCCTCCCAGACTCCCAAGCTCCTCGGCCGGCCCCTCCTGGCTCCCGTGCCCTGCCCTGTCCGGGTCGCCGGACCACGGCCCTGGTCGTGAATGAATCCCCTGTTGTCCCCTCAAGCCTGTGGCTTTGGGCGGCCGACCAGCGGGCTGTGGCCACGGCCCAAAGGCAGCTGGGCAGGGCAGAGAGCCCAGCCCCGCCTGGCCAGCCGGAGCCCCCAGCCGGGGGGGAGGGTGGACTTACGGCAGCTTTTGTCACTGTGTCAGCTGTAGGGCCCTGGGTCCACCGGCCACATCCAGGAGGGGAAGGCGGGCAGCGTGGTCAGCAGCTGGAAAGACAGAGGCCAGGCTGAGCAGGGGCGCCAGCTGATGGAGGGGGGCTGGCACTGCCCGTGCTTGCTGGGAGCGCAGACAAGGAAAGAGAGCCATTGGGGAATCCTGGGGGGGGGGGAGCAGAGGCAGCCCCGCTTCAGACATCATCCTGTCCTGGGCTCGCATGCGACGGTGGCCTCTTGTGGGTGGCAGCCAGCCTCTGTCCCCATCGCTCGGCCTCGGCCCCAGACAGTCCGGCTCCTGCTAGTCTTGAAAAGTCAGCTGTTTCCGCACGATACGCTCATCAGTTGCAAATTGAGAGGCTGCATTTTGTCCAACGGGCCACGTTTTAAACCAGGGGTCTCCAACCTGGGCGACTTTAAGACTGGGGGACTTCATCTCCCAGAATTCCCCAGCCTGCACAGGAGGAGTGAGGTCATCAGATCGCCCAGCCAATCAGAGACCCATAGGACTCCCCGTACAGGAGCAGTCCACCTTTTGCAGTAACTAAAAGGAAGGAAAGACGGGGTGGATCCCGCAGGATCTCGCAGCCGGGAATGATGTGGGCCCTAATTGATTTGGGCAAGTTCACACGTGCTAAACCCTCCCCTCTGACGGTTCGTGTAGGAATCCGACAGGCGCCTGACCGCCGTTCCTCCGCAGTTTCCTCTTGGCACGGAGCGCTTCCCACAACCTCTGGCAACCCGGGGCCAGCAAACCACAAAGGATTTCATGCAACATGATCTGCGCTGCAGTCCCAGACCAGCCTTTCTGGACAGGCAGGTTTCGGCTGCCCTGGGTCTCTTGGGCGAATAACACCTCCCCCCAAGCCTGCTTCCAAGTTCCTGGTCCTCAGGGCACAGGCGGAAGAGCTGGAGCAGCCCGGGATGAGCCTGGCCAGTGGAGGACACCACCGCCCGCCTCCCTCTGCCTCTCCAGCCTGGGCACCGTCTCTTCTTGGAGCTGACACAGACACCCCTCGCCGTACGACCAGAACTGACCCCCCAATTTCCACCGCTCAGTGAGACATGAAGTGAATTTTGCCCCGTTTTACAACGTTTCTTGTCAAATGCTGGAGTTGTTCGGTCAGTAAGTAAAACTGGTTTCCCCGCTGGTGGGTCAGAAGGTCGCTGACCCCGGGACCCTGCGACCGTCATAAATACAAACCGGTTGCCGAGCGTCTGAATTCTGATCACATGACCACGGGGACGCTGCCACGGTCTTAAGAGTGAGAAATGGTTGTAAACCACTTTGCCGTCGTTAACTCCGAACGGTCACTAAACAAATGAAGTGGAGTAGCTGCCTGTACGACTTTGGTGTGCCGTTACCGGATGGAGGTGCCCGGTTTGGGAAACGCGGGTGGCATCACCCAGGCCTTGGCTGAGAGGGTTTCCTTGCCCTCCCCAAACGCAGGAGACCACGGCAGGGGTCAGCGAGGCCTGGGTGCGAAGTCGTAGAGGGTCCGTCCCCAGGAAGGGCGAGGGTCCTCAGAAGAGACCTCAGGGCAAAACTCGCTTAACAAATCTCTCACTGAGGAGCAGACATTTTGGGCTCGGCCGAGGTCGTACGTGGAGGAGTGCCCGTATGTGAAAAGTTGCACGCTGCATCAGGGCAGCGGAGGAAAAAATAAATAAATCCAATTTCGAGATGTGGCCCAGAGTGGAGGGGTGGGGAGGAACCTCAGCGGGGGTCTTGCTTCCCGATAACCGAGAATGAAGCACTTGGCACCCCCAAGCAGGGCAGGCAACTTTAGGAAGATCCCCGAGACCCCTCCCAGCTGGCAGAGGCAGCCCCTGCCCTGCCCTGGAGAAGGAAGTGGGCTGGTGCTGCCAATTTCGTTAACGGCTTCTCCTGCCTCCGTACCACAACGGCTTTCCCTCCAGGGCTGGGTCGGCTGCCAAAAGCCCGTTGACTTCCTGCGCTTGAATCAACCCTCTGGGAAGGGGGCGGGAAGCCTGGCTCCCCGGTTCCCGCACCTGGAGACGCCCAGCAGCCCGGCGCCCCCGGGCTGTGCTCTGCCAGGGCATGCCCGCCACCTTCCCCCGCTCAGGAATAGCCCGGCTTGGGCAGAGCGCAGGTGGGGCCTCCCCCCCCCCCCCGTGCCACACGTGCAGCTGTGTGGTCTGTCCCGGAGGAGGAAGCAGCAGCCTGGATGCCAAGCCCCCTCCTGGGGCAGCAGATTCTATGGGGAGACCCCACCCAGGCTGATTAGCTTGATTTATTTGGTGCTGAGGCTTGGGGGGAGGGAGGGCTGACTGGCTCCTTTATCTAGCCCCCAAACCTTAGTCCTCTCCAGCAGCCATGCCGCCTTAACAGGGAGTCCTCAACGTACGACCACAAGGGACCCCAAAATCTCCATCGCTAAGCGAGACATTGGTTAAGTGACTTTTGCCCCATTTGATGACCTTTCTTGCTGCAGTGGTTAAGTGGATCACTGCCGTTGTTAAGGTAGTAAGGGGATCACGTGACACACACACACACACACACACACACACACACACACACACCGGACAGGGCGACCGTTGTAAATACAAGCGTCTGAATTGTGATCACTTGGCCTGGGAGATTCTGTAACGGTCATAAGTATGAAAAATGTCACTTGTTTTCAGGGTGGCTGTAATTTTGAACGGTCACTAAATGAACGATTGTTAAGTTGAGGAATGCCTGTGCGCCTATGGGGGAGGGGGGCCAAGCTGGGGTCTGCGTGAAGACACACAGGCAAGGCGGGGGTCTTAATCTTGGGCAGGAATTTGGACTAGAGCAGCACCCCCCAACCTTTGGGGCAGCTGGGGCAGAGGTTTCCCCCCCCACCAGAGGGGGAACTGGTTTCCCGTGCTGCCTGCATCCCGCGGAGGGGGGCTTCGCTTGTTTGCGCAGGCCGCTTTCTGGCCTGCGTGGGCCAGTGCCAGTCCACGGACGGGGGGTTGGGGACCTCCGGACTGGAAGACCCTCCAAGGCCCCATCCAGTCCTATGACTCTATGATCAACCTTGAGATGCCCCCCCCCCCTTGGCATCCCCAAACTGCAGCCTCTGGTTCAGACTAGCCGGGGGTATGGGGAGGGGGGTCTCTGGCAATTTGTCATTAAAAAGCCCCCCCTCCCCAATTTTGTGGGGCTGCAGCTGCCTTCCTGGAGGGCTTCGAGGAGGGGGGGGCTGCCTCTGCAACCTCAAGGCTGGATTCCATCAACAGAGATGAACCGTGTGTGTGTGTGTGTGTGTGTGTGTGTGTGTGTGTGTGTGTGTATGAATTAATCATTAATCAGTGGGAAAGCTTCCCTACAGACGTTATGGGGCTTCGTTGCTGGAGGTGTCTGAGCAGGGGGTTGGACTAGAAGACCTCCGAGGTCCCTTTCAGCTCCTCTTATACGGTTATTGGGGAGGGGGAGGCCTGACAGCGGCTGGGAGACCGGGAGCTGAAGTCCGCCCATTCTTGGAAGTTGCCAAGTTTGAGCAACGTTGTAGCAACATTGAGAAACATCGTGTAAATGCAGCCTCCGGAGAGAAAAACTCCCGGAAAGCGTCAGGAGCGCTCGGAGAGCCTTGCGGTTGGCCGGGAAAGGCTGGACGGGGGGGCGCCGCGAGGGTCTGGGGGTGCTCCTTCCCTGCACCTGGCCGTCCGGCTGGAGGGGAAGGAGCTACCAAGTTGCTCCGGGACGCAGCCTGCCCTTCCCTTCCCCAGGCGAGGATCGTGCTTTCCCCAGTCGGGACCCCCCAGCCCGCCCATCGAGCCTTCCCGCCCTGCCGCACGCAAGATCCCCTCCCGGGGTCGCGTTCCCACGAGACGCGGATTCCCGCCTCGGCCCACGTGGCCGCCGAACGCGCCGCGGCCCACGTGACTCACCCGCTGGAGGCTCCTCATCACATCTCCCGGCGCGGGGGAGGGGGCGCGAAAGGGGCGGAGCCGCAGAGGAGGAGGAGGGGGCCGCCTCCTCGGCAATAGGCGAGCCGGGCAGGGAGGGGGAGAGGGGCAGGAGAGCGCAGGCGCGCCGCTCGCGGCGTTGGGGCCCGAGAGGGGCGAACGATCCGAGTCCGCCGCGTCCTCCGGGACAAAGTGCGAGGTTGACCCCCGCGCATGCGCCACCTGGCCCCCCGCTGCCCCTCTACGCCGGCCGAGCCGTGCGCAGGCGCAGACGCCCATCGGCGGCTCGCCCGGTTCCCCCGTTTCCTCCTGCCGGGAATCCTGGGAAATGTAGTCCCTTTGGGGGATGGAGGGCCCGCACGTATTCATGTGGAGGGTGCCGAGACAGGACATAAAGAGGGCAGCTCCCAGCTCTTCCCTCTCCTTTGTGGGGTCAGCTGCAGCGAAGGCCTGGAGGACACAGAGAGAGAGAGAGAGAGAGAGAGGACACGCGTGTCTCTGCCAAGTTCACACGACACGGCTCCTGTGACCTCCCAGCCTCCCTTCCAGCCCCTGAGGCTTGTGGAGAGGCCGCCTGGGGTTAGCTGAGAGGCCGAACGATTTGCAGCGGCGATTGGAGAGCTTGTGCAATGCCACGCGGCCGCTCCGGGAGGGAGGGGAGCAGAAGGTGGGAGTCAGATAGAGACGTCGGAAGACCAGCCCGAGAATCCCGTCCCGGCCTCTGATCAACTCAGGGCAAGGGCTGGGGGTGACCCGCAGGAGGAGAGCCGGATTGGGCTACGGGAGGCGCCGATCGGAAGGACTCCCCGGTCGCAGAACGTGTGAACGGAGGCACGAATGCTGTAAAGAGCGCAGAGAAGAGCAGCAAAGAGGGTCAGGAGGCTGGAGGCTAAAGCATAAAGAACGGTTGCTGGGATTGGGGATATCTAGTTCAGGGGTCTTCAGACTGGGCCCTTTGATGACTTGTGGACTGCAACTCCCAGAATTCCTCAGCCAGGCACGCTGGCTGAGGAATTCTGGGAGTTGCAGTCCACGAGTCCTCAAAGGGCCAAGTTGGAAGACCCCTGGTCTAGTTTAATGAAAAGGAAAAAAAAAACAGGCATGGCTGGCTGGGGAATTCTGGGAGTTGAAGTCCACCAGTCTTAAAGGGGCCAAGTTTGAAGACCCCTGAAGTAAACGGATATCGCTTCCCTTCTGTTTTCTTGACCTTGCCAACGGGCCTCCTGCCATTTCCACGCCACTGACTCACCTTCCCAGCGCTCTGCATAATGTTGCAAAGCCAACAGTGAGCCGGATGGAGAGGAGGTAGAAGGGATCTAGACAACTGGATCTCCCTGTCCTGTTTGGATTGCCTACCGTATAATTACCTCCCTCCGTAATGCCATGTTTAATTAAATCCGGGACTAATTAACGTCCTTCACAAAGATGTCTGAAGGCAGTTCAGCCCCTGAGCTCTGCTCAGGGGGGCAGGGAGGGTCATGGGCAGCAGCCCTGGACAACCAAGCGGGGCCCGTATGGCGTGGTGGGGCCCGACGAGCAGACGGAGGAGAGGCCTCCGCCTGACCCACCTCGTCACCTTGGTTTCTTCCTGAGGTCCGGCGCCTGCAAAGCAGGAAGGTGGCGCTCTGCCAGGGCAAGGGAGCCAGCTGGGCAGCGCTTGTGGCTGCCTGGCGCTGGAGGGGCCGGGAAGACTTGGCGTGTTCCCTCTGCATGAGGGAGCCTGTCAGGAGTAGGAGACAACACAGCCGCACCTTCGCAACGTCCCTGTCTCCGTCCAGGGAAGCTTCTGTGAAGGGAACATGCAGGCAGTCCTTATATAGACCCATTCGTTTAGGACAGGGGTAGGCAAACCTGGCTCCTTTTAGGACTCGTGGACTTCAACCCGTGGAATTCTGGGAGTTGAAGTCCACAAGTCATCAAAGGGCTAAGTTGGAAGACCCCTGTTTCTCAACCTCGGCCACTTGAAGATGGGTGGACTTCTGGAATTCCCCAGCCAGCCCTGCCCGTCTTTTTTAATTCTTCCCACCAGGACGGAGAGATTGCAGAGGAAGGGATTATAAGAGGGCCACAAAGGACGTACTATTCAAAGACCCCAAAGGCCCTAGCTGGGAAGTAATGGGAGTTGAAGTCTATCTATAACAGGGGTCTTCAAACCTGGCCCTTTGATGACTTGTGGACGTCAGCTCCCAGAATTCCTCAGCCAGGCACGCGTGCCTGGCTGAGGAATTCTGGAAGTTGACGTCCACAAGTCATCAAAGGGCCAGGTTTGAAGACCCCTGGTTTATATAGAGTTTAGTTTGGGAAATAATTGCTTTGATTGCACTCTCCCCCACCCCACCCCCAGTGGTGGGGTTTAGTTGGGGGCTCTGCAGCCTAAACCCAGCCTTTCTCTTCCCACTGGGCCCGTCTTTGGAAGGGAAGAGAGCACAGGCAGGGCTCCCTCAGAAAGCCCCCAGAGCAGCGACGAAGGGCACAGAGGACAATCTCCGGAGTGTGTTGAAATCCGAGAAGGAGGAGGAAGACTGGCTACTGCAGAGGAAATGAAGGCAGACTGTAGACAGAGGCATCTTTCAGCAACCTGTAATCAGTGCGGTCCTGGGTTTGGTTCTTGGCACCCACGGGGAGGTCCTGTGTGCGCGGAGTGGATCGCTGGCATCTGGAGGGGAGCAGCAGGTGGAGGCTAGTCCCAGCTTTTTGCACACACACACACACACACACACACACACACACACAAAGGGGTCCCTTTTCCTCAATTTCTCTTTATTCCCTATCAGCATAACCTTTATTCGGAGCAGAGGCGCCTCCTTCTCAAGCCACGGGGCAGCTTCCGCCCTGCCCCTCAGTGGGTTTCGTGCAGCAGCTGCTGGTGTTTCCGTCTGTCTCGCACAATTTTCCACAGCCGCAACCGGATGATGTGAAGCACTCCCGAGACATCGCGCAGCAGCGTCTCCTCCAGCTGGGCGTCGGCGTCCCTGCCGGCATCCTCAACCTGCAGCGGGAATCGCAGCCGTGGCCCCACCGCCCGGGGCCCCGGGATAAGGAGCTTCCCTCTCGAGAAATTCAAGGGCTCAGCTCCGGAATGTGGGGGGGGGGTTAATAAAGCGAAGGGCGTACCTCGGGAGTGTCTCCGAAGAGGGACAGGAGACTCCGGTCTTTCAACCAAGATGAAATTTGTGCCAGGGGCCAAAAACGGTCTCTCACTGCCAAGGCGCCCTCCTGAAACGGGTGAGACGAGGTTTGGGTAGAGCAGGGGTCTTCCAACGTGGCCCTTTGATGACTTGTGGACTTCAACTCCCAGAATTCCTCAGCCAGCGTGGCTAGCTGAGGAATTCTGGGAGTTGAAGTCCACAAGCAGGGGTCTTCCAACTTGGCCCTTTGATGACTTGTGGACTTCAACTCCCAGAATTCCTCAGCCAGCGTGAGGGAACTAGGACCCTTTGATGACTTGTGGACTTCAATTCCCAGAATTCCTCAGCCAGCGTGAGGGAACTAGGACCCTTTGATGACTTGTGGACTTCAACTCCCAGAATTCCTCAGCCAGCGTGAGGGAACTAGGACCCTTTGATGACTTGTGGACTTCAACTCCCAGAATTCCTCAGCCAGCGTGAGGGAACTAGGACCCTTTGATGACTTGTGGACTTCAACTCCCAGAATTCCTCAGCCAGCGTGAGGGAACTAGGACCCTTTGATGACTTGTGGACTTCAACTCCCAGAATTCCTCAATGGGAACCCTTTGATGACTTGTTCAACTCCCCTCAGCCAGCGTTGCTAGCTGAGGAATTCTGGGAGTTGAAGTCCACAAGCAGGGGTCTTCCAACTTGGCCTTTGATGACTTGTGGACTTCAACTCCCAGAATTCCTCAGCCAGGCACGCGTGCCTGGCTGAGGAATTCTGGGAGTTGAAGTCCACAAGTCATCAAAGGGCCAAGTTGGAAGACCCCTGGGGTAGAGGGTGGTGGCATTCCTTTTTCTCACCACAGGAGTCCCTGCAGAGACCCCTGCAGCTGAGAAGGGGCTGATTTGGGCACCCCCTGGGTTCACACCGGCCCTGCTGACTCCCTTCCACCGTTTCCCCCCCTCCAGGGGCTGCTTCCCACGGGCTGGGCTTGGCTGGTCCTCACCCGCTCAGGCTGAGTTTTTTTTCTTCGCATCGCTTCTCGTCCCAGAAGCTTCTTCAGTTCAGTTCTTCTGGGATGAGAAGCAAAACCTTTTCGAAGAAAGCCAGCCAGTCCAGTTGCCTTTTCCCAAAACACTTTTGGGACAACCCTGATCCAGGAGGGTTGAGAATCCCCGTAGACTTTCAGATGCATCGTTAACGCTAGGAAGGGGGCAGAGAGGGGCTGGGGGAGGTGGGGAGGCCGTCCTGATCAGGAGGGTCCTTTGGGGGGGGTGGTCCTCACAAAAGGCATCTGATGCGCTGGACTGCAGGAACCTGGCTGGGCCTGTGTCCACCCTTCCCAACCGGCCTGATCTCAAGATCGGCCCCAGGGGAGCTGCCATCTGGACCCCTTGTGGTACCCCATAAATTGGGGAGGGGGACAGAGGTCCCATGGTCAAGCCTTCTCTTAGAACAGAGGACCCGTCCATCCTGCCTTCTGCTAAAATCGGAAGGCCTCGGGTAAAATCCAAAATAATAATAATAATAATAGTAAAGTTGGAAGGGACCTTAGAGGTCATCTAGTCCAACCCCCTGCTCAGGCAGGAAACCCTACACCATTTCGGACAAATGGCTGTCCAGTCTCTTCTTAAAAACTTCCAGCGTCCACTGATTAAAAACTTCCAGTGTCCACTGGACAATCTATCTTAGCCGGGGGAACGGACGCTGTGCCCAGCCCACGTGTGGATCCCAGACGGATGCAGGTCCACAGCGGGGAGGCAGGTGTGCAGAACAGATGGGGGGGGGCTTCTTGATGGCGTGAGGGACGAAGGGGGGGGCCGAGCTGCTCACCCCGTGCTCTTTGGCAAACAGGAGGTAAATCACGGAGGACCCCGAGAGGGCCAGGAGCAGAGCCCAGGGCAGCAGCACAAAGGGCTCCTGGGTGGGGCCGCCGTCCCCCCGCGTGCCGCCTCCGAAGGAGCAGGCAGACTCCTGCATGCTCCCCAGAGCCGGCTCCAGTTCACCAACTCTCTGCCGCTTCAGCTGGGCCCGGCTGGCAGACAGCCATGCCAGGAAGAGCAGGGAGAGCCGACACAGAGGCATGGTCTTCCCAGGGGATGTGCTGGAGAGACTGGTTGCTAGGGAACCAGTTGCCAGGGATACCATAGTCTGAAGCTTCCGTGGACCAACAGGGCCATTGTCACACTGAAGCATGAGGATTGGGGTGGGGGGTGCCACAGGGGAGCCCCAGCTCCAGCCTTCTTCCTGACCGGGCGCACCCATTCGCAGGCTGGAATTGGCACCGTCCCCCAGAGGGGGTCTGTGGCCCAGGGCTTTGGTCTGACCTCCTCATCCTTGGGTCAGCCACACAGGGGAGCCTCCCTCTGGTGTCTCTGGCTGTAGCAAGTGGCCACTGGAAGCCTCCGTGGGTTGCCCTCGCCATCTTGGCTCTTGCTGGGCTCTGCAGACCGGGAGGGCCCCCTTGGCAAAGGAACGCTGGATCGGGTTGGGGGGTCTGGGTGCGAGGTTGCTAACCAGCTTTCGCTCGGTGGGAGGGAGGCTTGCCCCATCCTGCCTAAGCCCGGACACCCTTTCCGCTGGCCTTGTTTCTCTCTGCCCTCGGGAACACAGCAATCGCGGGAGGGAGGAAGAGGGAGGGAGGGAGGGCACAGCGGACAACAATGCCCTTGTCACCCTGCCCTGCTGGTTGCGGGCAGGCGTCCACGTGCCGCACTCCTCCAGCTGTTTGGCCCACCCTCCTGCTCGCCCGGCCGCCACGTGCTTCGGCCGAGGGACAATGGGTCTGTTTCACCAGGCCTGGGATTCAGCCGCTGCCTTGGGCTCAAAACAAGAGGACGGGAACGGCTTGTGCTTGGGAGCAATTCACTACAGCGGGAGGAGGGGGGCACACACCAAGAGAGTGCAATGTCTCCTCTGCAGCAGCTCTTTGATCATCCATGGGGGGGGCTGGATTGGACTTGGGGGGGGCTGCATCTTCCATAGCGTGTCCCAAGGGGCCTTTTTCCAAAAGAAAGTTGGACTTTCTGGGGTTTATTTTTTGGAAAACATTTCTCATCCAGGAAGGTCAGGAGAAGCAAAACGTTTTCAGAGAAAAAACAAAGAAGGAAGTCCTTAGAAAAAGCCCCTTTGGGGGGCAAACAAAACCCTGAAGGACGGAGCATCACCATAAGAGACATTTTGCTCCGCAGTCCGAGGCAGGTGCTGGCAAAGCCCCCTTCCTCAACGGGACCGCCGCTTCTTTATGGAACGCCCCATAGATCACCCCACAACACAGCGAGCGACTTGAACAGCTAGGGACTTTAATAACCTGAAATACTGCAAAAGTGCCCCGGATATAAAAGTATTGGCAGCTCCAGACCTCAGTGCTTCACCCCAATTTCCAACCACGTCTGTGGTACCTTAAAAAAGCCCCCTCCCACATTGGTCTGAAGGAGGGGGGCAAATGGGGCGTTCTCCCCCCAGGTTAGGGGAGGAAAAGCCCCGACAAGGAGGGACACCCCCCCCAGTCCAAGGGTGGATTTCCTCACCAATCCACCCCTCTCCAGCCCTCTCTGCTACGAAACGTACCCTGCTCCTTTCAGAGCAGGAGGGGGGACAATTGCACTCCCCCCCCCGAAGGCACATGCTGGGTTAGTAGCCCAGTTCCCCACCCCCACCCCAAAGGCTGGTTTCACAAACGCACATGCACACGCGTGCACAAACCCCCCACCCCCAAACAGGCAGGTTCACATCGGGGGGGGGGAACTCCATGGGAAGCCCCCTCCCATCCGGCATCCGTGTCAGCAGCAGCCGTTCTCTGGTCCTCCCTCCGTCCATCTGTCCATTTGTCCGTCCATCCAGGGTCACGCGGAGCCGCTGGACGATGGCTTGTTTTCGTGGAGCTGAGCCGGAAAGGGGCCGGTCTGCTCCACGCTGGCCAGGGAGCGCAGAAGGCTGTTCTCCTGCTCCAGGGCAGCGTTGCGTTCGGACAGTTCTTTGATCTGCTCTCTTAAGAGTTCCACCTCTTCCCGCACGGCGAACATCAAGTGGCTCTTGACCAGGTCCTGAGGAAGCAGAGGCCGGAGCTGTGAGGGTTCCTCCCCACCCCAGGACGCTGGCCCTTCCCCACCAACGCACTGGCAGGCCGGCTCTGCGACCAGGCCTCTCCCAGACCCAGAATCACAGAATTGGGAGGGACCTCAAAGGTCTTCTAGCCTAACCCACTGCTCGGGCCACAAACCCTAGGCCAGTGTTTCTCAACCTTGACCATTTTAAGGCATGTGGACTTCAATGCTGGCTGTGGAATTCTGGGAGTTGAAGTCCACATGCCTTAAAATGGTCAAGGTTGAGAAACACTGGCCTAGGCCCTTTCAGACAAACGGGTGTCCCGTTTTTTTTCTTAAAAGCCTCCCGCGTTGGAGCAACCCACAACTTCTGGAGGCAAGGAGTCCCACCGATTAATTGTCCTCACTGCCAGGAAATCCCTCCTGAGTTCTAGGTTGCTTCTCTCCTTGATTAGTTTCCATGCTTTGCTCTTTATAATAATAATAACAATAAAGTTGGAAGGGACCTTGGAGGTCATCAAGTCCAACCCCCTGCTTAGGCAGGTAACCCTATACCATTTTAGACAAATGGCTGTCCAGTTTCTTCTTTAAAAGCCCCTTCGGGGGCTTTGGAAAATAGAGGGACCCCCTCTTCTTTCTGGCAGCCCCACAATTATTGGAACATTGCTATCATGCCCCCCCCCATTCTTCTCTTCCTTAAACTACTAAGACCCAATTCCTGCAACCGTTCCTTATATGTTTTAGCCTCCAATCCTCTAACCATCTTTGTGGCTCTTCTCTGCACTCTTTCTAGAGTCTCCACGTCTTTTTTTACATCGTGGTGACCAAAACTGGATGCCGTATTCCAAGTGTCCTCCTTGTAAAGTGGTATTAACACTTCCCATGATCCTGATTCCACAGCAAAAGGGGTCCTTTGCACTGTAGTTTTACAAAGGAGACACCAAAAGGGTGCAGCTCCCACCAAGGCTGAACCTGGCCCGCTTGATAAGGTCGGACTGTTAGCCACGATGTGACCACAGAATCCCTGACGCCCATCTATAAGTGCTTCCTGGCAGGCTAGCCCAGGGGTAGGCAACCTTGGCTATTTTATGACTTGTGGACTTCAACTCCCAGAATTCCTGAGCCAGCATACTCATTGTGGCCCTGCTTACTCTCTTACAATCCCTTCCTCTCCAATCTCTCCGCTTTAAGGGATAGGTGAAAAAAAAAAAACAGGCATGGCTGGCTCAGGAATTCTGGGAGTTGAAGTCCACGAGTCATAAAAGAGCCAAGGTTGCCTACCCATGCTAGCCGGCTGCCGCAGCCTTTCTCCCAGCAAGAACAACGAAGAGGGCAAGTTGCCACTGGAAGCAACTTTGGCCTCTGGCAGATGCCGGCAGCTTCTGAGCGTCTCTGAGCCTGTACGAAGGGCCTGCCGGCTGCCAACCAACGGGAAGGAATGGGTGGCTGTGTCTGGGACTTGCCCAGGCATATAAAACCAGGGCAAGCACATCTGGAAACCCCAAAGGGCCTTTTCAGAAGACTTCTTTGATTTTGCATCGGAAACGTTTCACTTCTTCTCATCCGAGAAGCGAAACGTCTTCGAAGAAAAAAATAGTTTCTTTGCCAAGAAAAAGCAAGGCCACCTTTGGGACAGACAACCTGGAGGGCAGAGAATCTCCAGCGACACATCCAGAAATGTCATCCGAGAAGTGGATCTGGTGGCTGGCAAAGGTCGGGGACTGGCACCTCCTGGGCAGGAACCTGCTCCGGATCACGGGCCCGGCAGTCTGCCCACGGCCACCGAGGACCGTGCCCGTCCACCAGGGCCACCGCCATCCCTGCTCTGCCTCTCTGGACTTACCATGGCTTGTTCAATCTTGTTGTCAATGGCGATCATGCTGCTGTTGCTTCCGCTGCGGGAAAGAGAAGCCCCCGTGAATCGGGTTGCCCCACAGAAGGGGACTTGTAAGGCCGGTAGCCCCCCCCATGCAGTCCTGCTGCCGCCCCACAGGGCTTCTGCTCCCCAGAGCCAGCCCCACTGACCCCCCCAAGGCCTGCCAACTAGGCAAAAAGAGACAAACAGAGTTGGAAGGGACCTTGGAGGTCTTCTAGTCCAGCCCCCTGCTCAAAGAGGAGCACAATGCCAGAGCAGGATTCCAGCCAGAAGGGCTGGAAGCCCCAGTGAAGCAGGTGCCCCACTGCCGTAGGGACCCGGCAGATTCAACAGGGGCATGGGAATAGGGTGTGGCTGGGGGGGCTGGCACTGCCCCCTCCCAGGCCGTTCCGGCCCCAGCAATGTACGTCCACCTCACCAGGTGGGATAAAAGGCTCTGAGCCCACCCAGGTGCACCTGGCCTGGCTCCTCCCTCCACCTCCCCCTCCCCCTGAGGGGTCCAGGTGTGCCTAGCTAAGCTTGCAGAGCTTTGATGGGTCAAGCCAGCGGTTCTCCAAGTGGGGTCCAGAGATACATCAACCGGGGTAACCCACAAACCCAAAGCACTTTGGGTTTCTCAGTTGTTTTAAGAATGAGACCCCCGTGTCTCTCCCCCACCCCGGGAGAGAAGCAGAAAAGACCCATTAAGAGGGGGGGGGGTCCTTGAAGTTCTCTGAGTTTGGTTGGTTTTCTTACAGGCATTTCATTACCCAACTAGGCAACATCGTCAGTTTGGGGGTGAAACTCTAACCAAGTTCAGAGAGCACCAGGGACCCTGCAGTTCTCCTCCTCCTCCTCCTCCTCCTCCCTTCTAGCTCTGATGATGTTCCCTAGTTGGGTCATGAAACGTCTGCAAGAAAACCACCCAGCTCAGAGAGCACCAGGGACCCCCACAGTCCTTCTCCTCCTCCGCATCCTCCTCCTCCTCCCTTCTAACACTGAGGATATTACCTAGTTGGGTCATGAAACGTCTGCAAGGAAGCCACCCAACTCAGAGAGTACCAGGGACCCCACAGTTCACCCCGGAGCTGCAGAGATCACTGAGACAATGAACCAAAGCAAGAGCTGCATTCACACACGCCTGCTTGCCCGTCTTGTGAGCCCACGCGAGATTCCACACTAGGGACCAGCTACATGAGTGGAGAACACAGCCAGTCCCTGCTTTTGCACCAGAACAACCTTCTCAGGGCCCCTGACCCCTCTCTGGATCCCTCTCCCTCCTGCCCACCAGCAGCCCAGACCCCCCCCCCACTACTACCTGTGGAGGACCAGCAGGAGGGAGACCAGCCGCTGGTCCGCCTCCTTCTTTGGGCATCCGTTCAGCTTCTGGGGGCTTGGCGGGGTCTCCTTCGGCTTCCTCACCCGAGCAGGGGAGGCCTCCCTGGATGAAGCTGGAGAGGTGCAGCCCCTCTGCCTGGGGCGAGGGGAGGCCCCCGGATCGGGGAGCAGGCAGCAGCCGCAGCCGGGGGGCTCCCCCCGAGACTCGTAAGCATTCACCAGGGATCGGACAGAGGCCCGTCGGCGATCCAGAGACATCTCCCCCGCCTGTCTTTCTGCGCCCAGCTCTCCGCGGGGGCCCGAGGGTGGCACCCCCCCCCAAAAAAAGCAGCTGCCGGGCTGCAGATCTCTTTTCCCTTCTCCTGTCCTGTCCTTTGGTCACCCCCCCCCGGCCCTTCTGAGCCTCCAACCCTCCCAACCCAACGGCAGGCAAAAGGCCGGGCCCAGCCAGCCGCCCAGGCTGGGAAAAGGCCGGCGATGCGCGCGGCTCCCGCTGGACGGGGCAGGCGACGGACCCTCGCGTGGCCAGCCAGCTCCTGGCTCCGCAGAAATAGCCATCTCTGTGCCCGGGCTCTCGGCCCCCTCTCATTCACTCTCATTGGCTGGGGGGGGGCACGGGGGGAGCGCGCCCCGTTTCCCCACCTCGGGAGACAGCACAGCCAGCCAGCAACTGGGGCCTCAGCTGCCCAGCCTGTCAGGCGTGCCAAGCAGCCGTGTGCGCCCGCTCGCTCGCCCGCTCTCTTCCGTCCCCCGCGCTCAGGACGGAAGCGGTGGGGGGGACCCTCCGCTCTCCGCCCCCCCCTTTCGTTCTTGGCTCAGATGTGGCCCAGAAGGCGTGCAGGGGGTGGGGTGGGTGGGGGGGCTGCACAAAGGGAGCTTTGTAAACTTGCCACCTCTGTTTATGCCAGTCCCCGTCCAGGGGGGGGGCACGCCAGGAGGGGGGGACATTGTTAGGGAAGCAGGGAAGGGAGTCCAAGCGCATTGCATAACCCAGCAGCCCCGCCCCCTCCAATGAGGGCCCGGCCTGCCCCCCCCCAGATGAAAACTCCCTTCGAAGACCCTGAAGCTTCATGGGGCACCAGGGGGGGGAACCTAGAAGGCAGACTCAAAGCAGCCCCCCCTCCATGGGGACTCTCACTCTGCCCTCCGAGCTGCTTGGGGGTGTGGGGGAGGGGCAGAGGGGTTTTTGCGGCCGCCCTACAGACAGTCCCCGACTTACGACAGCTCGTTTAGTGACCGTTCCAAGTTACGACGCCAGTGAAAAAGGACTTGTGACCGTTTTTCACACTTACGACCGTTACAGCGTCCCTAGTCACAGGATCAAAATTCAGACACTGACTCGTACTTATGACGGCTGCAGGGCCTCAGGAGGGTCATGCGATCCCCTCTGGCGACCTTCCGACAAGTCAAGTCAAGGGGGGGGGAGAAGTCGGATTCACTTAACGTCCGTGTGGCTTCCTTATCAACTGCAGTGGCTCACTTAACGGCGGCAGCAGGAAAGGTGGTAAACTGGGCCAAACTCGCTTAACAGCCATCTCGCTTAGCAACGGGAGTTTTGGGCACAATTGCAGTCGTAAGTCGAGGACTTCCTGTACCGGCAGCTGCACGACAGCCTGAATTTGCTTCGGCCCACAAGTTGGTTTGTTTTGCGGCTCAGCTGGCCGGCTTGCAAATGGGTGGACTTCAACTCCCAGAATCCCCCAGCCAGCCACGACTGCAAGTTGACCTCCTTGGAAACACAGGGTCTCAGGGGGGCAGCAACCCGGTGAGGTCAGTGGGGCCCCTTCCCCCAGGCCAGGACTCTCCGCAGTCGAGGGGGGCCTTTCTGACCCCTGGAAGAATTGTCCCCGATGGCACATCGGTGGCATTTACTCTCTCGCTGTCCTGGGATAAGCCCCTCCCTCAGGCCCCCTCCCTCGCAGTGCCCCCTATTTGCCACTCGCCCCGTTGAGCCTTGACTCCCCTTGAGCATGCACAGAGTGTAAAACCTCCAAGCAAAGAGCTGAGAGGAAAACCCGGGGGGCGGGAAAGCCCTCTCTAGGTCCTCCATCTTTTCTTGTAACCCCCCCCCCATGGCTGGCTGGGCATCCAAAACCAGCAATGCCTGGGGGGGGGTTGGCATCACTCAGGGGAGGGGTGGGGGCCAGTGGGGCGGACAGGCTAAGCATAAACACAAGACTTGCTGGTTCTGAAGGGAGCCGTTTCCCCCCCGCCCCCCCCGCTGTGGGGCAGAGAGCAGAGTTGGCAGGAAAGGTGCTTCCGTCAACTGACACCCCCCCCCCTTGCTGAGATGCCCGCCTCTAAGCCCTAACCGGCTCGGCCAGCCCTTGGAAGGATTTATTCTGGGCACAGGGTTCTTCCCCCCCCCCGCCCCACCTCCTGCAGCAAAATGTCCCACCCAGCCGCGTTTCAGTCTGAAGTTTACCCCCCCCCCCATTTCTTCCCTCCTGCCCCCCCCCCCCGCAGACACTTAATATGGCTAAGAATAGTAGAGTCACCCCCAGGAGGAATGTAGTAGGTGCTGGACTGAACCAGCTGGGGGGGGCAATCTTGATAATGGCCCCCATTAAGCTTTTGGGGAAGGCCGGAGACGTTTGGGTGGGAGGAAGCAAGCAGGGCGAGGGTCTCTCCCAGGGTGACTCGGAGGAAGGCAGGAATCGGAAGACAGCCCTCACTCGGCCCTTGGGGTGCCCTTGATGCCAGCCACGCCCTCTGCGTGGGGAGGGACTCAGACACCCCCCCCCGGAAAACCAGAGAGGGGGGAACAGGCACAAATGTGGAGGAGGGGGTCCATCTGGGGCAGGTGGTCAGCCGTAGGTAACAGAGGGGCAGAAGCATGAATGGATGGGGGGGGCACAGCACCCACAGTCCCCACCCAGGAGCTGCTGTCCCTCCCCAGCAACTAAAATGCCAGCTGTGGGTTCTGGAACGTTCAGACACAGCCAGGGCTGACCCTGAAGGTCACCTGAAACCAAGGGGGAACTTCCGAACCGTGAGAACAATTCACCAGTGGAACAGCTCGCCACCAGAAACTGTGGGTGCTCCATCCACTGGAGGTTCTTAAGGAGAGATAAGACGGTCGCTTGTCCAGAACGGTCTCTAGGGATACCCTGTTTAAGCAGGGGGCTGGACTAGAAGACCTCCAAGGTCCCTTCCAGCTCTATTCTAATGGAGTGATCAAAGAGCTGCTACATGCAGCAGCCAGGAGGGCAAGGAAGCCGGGGGAGGGAAAGACAGGGGGCATGTCTGCCTGTGTTGGCGGGGTGGGTGGGGTGGAGTGCTTGGCCCCTGGCAGCTCCAGAACCGGGCGCAGCTCCGGCAGAGCCAGGCTGAGAGGCTGCAGGGGCTGGGCGGGCAGAGGCTGCTGTGGGTCAGGCTGGAAATAGACTCTCCTCTGCCCCCCCCATCCGCCCCCACCCTCCGGAGCTGGCTGGATCCCCTCCATGCCAGGCTAGAAATAGCAGCAGCCGGGTTGGGAGAGAAGCTGGCCTCACCTACCTGGGAGGATCCTGAAATTCTACACCCCCTCCCCTCCCCTCCCCGACAGCTCCCATTTCCATCCGCCTGCCCCAAAACACCCCGGGACCCAACACAACTGACTGTTTGCGCCAGAAAGAAGCCACAGAGTGCGTCACAGGCAGGCGCAGAGGAGGTGCAGAAACACCCCTCGGAAGAAAGACGGTCCGGTTTCGTGGAAATTGTCCTGGTACAGAAAACGCTGCCCCGTGGGACACCCCCCCCTCGGTCCCTCTGACCACCGGCTGTTGCAGCACCCTGAGTCACTTCTGGGGAGGTTGGGGCTGCACACACACACACACACACACACACACACACACACACACTGCAGCACACATCCGCTCCTTCCTTCTGACAACACCCCTCTTCCTCAATTGCCCAAGTCCAAAGAGGGGAAGTAGCCTCAGGCTTCGGCCAAGATGGGTTGTGCACCAAGAGCCCGTGCTGAGGGCAGCCAGAGGCGCGTGCAGAGAGCCAGGCGTCTGAGCATGAAGAAATCCCCTGGCAACCAGCCGCAAGTCAGCTTCCCTCTGATGTGTCCTCTGCGCACCCGCCCTCCTCCGGCCTCACTCGCTCAGGGTGTCCAAGCGCCCGGCAGGGGGCAGGTGAGGGAGGCCAGGGTTACAAGCTCCCCCCCTCCCCACAAGGCTTGGCACAGCTGCCCCGGGATGTGCCAGGCCGCCCCCAATTCCTCGGCCCGTACCTGTCGTCATCGCTGTCGTGGCCGGTCCCCATGCCAAACACCGACCGGGCCAGGTTGAAGCGGGCCACGCCAAAGGGGTCGGAGGTCCTCCGGTGGGGGCTTGCCTCGCGGAAGAGCAGGGGTGCCGGGGACGATGGGCGCGAGCGGGTCTCTCTGGGCAAAATCTGTCACGAGGGAGAAAAAGCTGAGACCCCCCCTCACAGGCTGGAGCTCTCTCCAGAGCAGGGAGGGAAATGGGGAGCGCAGGTGGGGACTTTTCACTCCGGCCCTCTTGGGACGGTGGGGGCGGTGGGCCCCGCACGGAAGGGAAAAGCCAGGTCAAAGGGGCTTCCCTAAGGGGGGGGTTGCCTGTTTGCATAGCCCAAAAAAGCAGAGGAAAAGGCTGGGGAGGGCAGGGCGAGCCACGCTCCCCCTGCCCAGGGTGCGGTGCCCCCGCCCTCTGGCCATCTAGAGACCTTTCCACTGAGCATGACCCTGCCAGGACACCAACATTTTGCTGCGGCCTCAGATGGACAGCGGTTCCTGGTCAAGGACACCTGAATGGATTTCCCCCCCCCCACTTGTCCCCTCCCCACACCAGGATTCTTTCTTCCTCTTCCCCCGGGCACAGCTGAAGATTTTCTACTGGAGAAGCCTTGGGGAGGTGCACCCCAAACTTTGCTCCTTCCCCAGCCCTCTTTCCCCCTGGCAGTGGGGCTGGTGGGTGCTCGGCCACAGCTTGCCAAGTTCCTGAAAGGACCCAGACGCAGGACCAGGACTTCTGTCCGAAGGCATCCGAGGGATCCAGCATCTGCCCATCCCTCCCCAGGGGAAAGAGTGAGGGGGAAGAGTTGCCCCCAGGAGGACGGGGGGGGGAGCTGGGCAACCCCGTGAGAACAGGGGGTCCATGTTGCAGGGAGGGTGAAACCGAGACCAGAGGACTCCCGCAAAGTGGGGCTTTCTCCCACCAAGGTCCCTCTCCTCAATCCTCTCTCGGTGCCAGTTGGGGGGAGGGGAGGGGAGCAGGGGGTGCCCAGGACCCCCCTCTACAGGTCACCAGTCTCCCCATCCTCACCTTCTGCCGCTCTTCCGTCTCCCTCGGGATGAGCTGGGTGACGCTTTTCGGCAGCAGCTGCCCCTCCACTCTCACCAAGGGGACGGTGCCCAGCGGGGGAGGGTCTCCGGGCTCTTGGGCGCCTTCCTCTGGAGCCAGGGGCCGCGTCTCTGCCGCCACCCGGGGGCTCTGGAGAGATGCGGCGCTGGGGGGGGTCCTGCCGGGGCGGAGGACAGGCAGGCCACCCCCCAGGGAGCGGGCCTGGTGGGCCGAGGCCGTGGCCCCGGGGAGCACCAGCAGGGACTGCAGGCAAGGCCCTCCCTGGCGGGGCATCGTTGGGCTGAAGGGCGAGGAGGGCTTCGCCAGCAGGCCGGCCACCTCCAGCCGGGAGTCCAGGGACTGAGGCTGCCGGGCTGAGTCTGCCAGCCGTCCCACCACATGGTAGTCCATCTCCTGTTCGTAGAAGTCTCGGCAAGTCCAGCGGCCACGTTTGTACGGCTCTCCCAAGCCATGGTCCAGCTTGACCACACGAAAGCGGGAACCGGACACGCAGCCGGTGGGGCCTGGGAGCAAGGGGGCCAATCCTGGGGAACCTGGAGCCAAGGGCCCGTTTTTGGGCCCTGTGCCACCATCGGGATGGTGACTGCCGTTTTCCACAGGGCTGGGCTCATCCGCCAGCCTGGCAGAGGGGCCCTTGGCATCCCCCCCAGGCGGACCCTCCTTCCCATAATCAGAGGTGACGCTGGTGATCTGGAACCCGCTCTTCTTCTTCCCCACGCTCATGATCCTGAGCAGGCTGGGGTCTCGGCAACTCTCCGGGCAACAGAGTGGGGGGGGGCTAGCAGGGTTGCTGCTGAGCAGGTCGCCCCCGGGCCATCGCGGCACCGGACACCAGGCAGAAGAACCAGCGGTCCAGAGTCTGCACCTCAGGCGGATCCGAGGGCAGGACGGCCTCCCCCAAAGGCGCCAGGGTCATCTGCACCGTGACCGCTGCGGCTGGTAATCGGCGGCTCGGCTGGCAGCAGCGAGAGGTTGGTGCGCCCTGGCCAGGAGCAAAGGCGGCTTAAGGGGCATCGGCCTGGCAGGCGTCCCGCATTGTTTCACTCCCAGCTGCAACTTTCTCCGCCCGCGGCGGCCGCGGCGACGGTTCCTGCTTGGCGCAGAGAAGCGGCTGAGCGGTCCGCCGGCTCCCGCTTCGCCTGGCCTCGATCCCGGTAGAGACCGCAGCTCAGGGGGCCGCGGGGCTCCGCTCCGCTTCGGGGCATGTCGGGGCTGGGCCGGAGGGCATCCCCACCGCTCCGGGGGCTGCGACCACCCAGCGGACAGGGCCGATCTGACCCTCGGCTCCCCCGGAGGCAGGAGGGCCCGCGCGCCCCCCCCCCCCGAAGGGCCGAGCCGACCGTGGGCAAAGTGGCGGCCGGGGCTCCGCTCGGCTGTCTGGCTGGCTGTCTCGCCTGGGCTCGTCTCCCTTCCTTCCCCTGCTCGCTTCTCTCCTCGCCCGCTTTCGGCTGGCTGTTGACAAGTCCCAGCACCAGGAAGTCCGGCCCCCTCCCAACCAGCTGACTGGTTGACGCCCCCCCAGCTGGGGCCGGGCCCGGGCGCGCTGCCTCCTCCGGCCCCCCCGCCAGGGCAGCCGCCCCCCTCCCGCCTTAAGCCCTTCCCTGCCCCGCGGCCGCCGCCCGGGGGCTGCCCGCGTGGAAAAGCCCCCGCTCGGCGACCGCGGAGGGAGAAGCAGAGGGCCGGCCTCGGCAGAAGCCGGTGACCCCGTCGGGGGGCGGGAAGCCCCAGGGAACCCCCACCCGCCTGAGCATCGCAGGGAAGGCGCCTCCCCCGCCGCCCCCCATCCCGGACGGAGGCTGTCCTGCCGAGCGAGCCCCGGAGGAGAAAAGCTGCGCCCCCCCCCCACGTCCGTCCAGAGCCTTCCCGCTTCTTCCACCCGACCCCTCGGCCGATCCCCGTTTGGGGCACCGAGGAGTCGCCCTCCCCTCACTGGAGACCCAGTCCCGGGGGTCTTCCAGCCTGTGAGCGGGACTGATGGGCGGGGGTGGACCGGAGGGTTCGTCGTCCGATCCCTCCGCCCCCTTTGGCTGGGCCACGACGCCCCGGACCCCCGCCCCCACCCGTCCCTCCCCCCCCCCAAGCTACGGTAAGTCCCAGCGCGTGCAAGCGGGGGGCTCGGCCAGGGCGCCCCGGGAAGGCTGCCTGGCGTCACGTGAAGGCTGCCATGGGGCGCTGCTGCCCCCTGGTGGCCGAGCGCCGCTCTGGTCCGCTCCCCTCGGGCAGGCGGCGCGGCTAGGCCGGGGGCCGCCGGGCCACCTTCGGCCGGCAGGTGGGAGTCGGGACCCCCGCGGCGCGCGGCCTGTGGCCGAAGCGGCTCGCCGAGCGGGCGAGATTCCCTCCAGCCGCCGTCAGACACGGTTGACCTCACCGGCGGGGCGAGAGGCGCTCTTCGCAGGCTCTCCGGGTCCCGCAAGTGCGGCGAGCGAACCGGGACCCCCCCCCGGGCTCCCGCGTGCAGAGCCGGGCCTCGCTCGGAGCCGGCGTGAAGCCGCGGCGGCGCAGCCGTTCTCACCGGGCGGGCCGGGCAGCATCTCCGAGGGCAGCGGCGGCCCCGGCGTCTCAGCGGCAGCGCAGCAGCCCGGCGTCCCCGAGGTGACCCCGAGGAGGCTCCGTGGAGCGGGCGGCCCCTCCGTGCGCGCCCCGCCGGCTCGTCTCCGGTCCAAGGCACGGCAAGGACGGCGGCGGCGGCGGCCCCGCTCGGCCCGGGCGCCGCTGCCTGGAGGGCAGGAGCCGGGCGGGCGGGCGCCAGCGTGGGGAAGGCGCGCCGGCAAGGAGCGCCCTCCCGCCTGGTCCCGCAGCCCGCCCCCCCGGAGGGAAGGGAGGGGGAGAGGCCATCGCGGGGCCAGGCCGCGCCTCCCTCGGGCAGGGGAGCCCCGGCTGCTCGCCTCCGGCCATGGCTGCGCTCCCGCGGCGCCTCCCGCGGCGCCCCTCCGGCCGGGGTCGGGGACGGCGGGAAGGGCCTCGCCGCGCCGCCCTCCTCCGCCGCTGCAGACGAGGCGGGGGCTCCCCCCTTCCCGGCCGCCGACAGGCTCCGGGCCGGGCCGGGCTCGGGGCTGAGCGGGCGGGGGAGGGCGGCGCGGCCTCCTCCCGTCCCCCACGGCGGGCGGGGGGCTCCCCTCCCCCCGCGCTGCGCCCGCGCTCCCGGGTGGGGGAGGCGCGCCGAGACGCTGCGTCAGCCCGAGGAAGCCGCGCGCGGAGCAGCCCGAGGCCAGGTGAGCGGCGGCGGCGGCAGCAGCGGCGGCGTCCGGCTCGGGGGTCCCTCCGGCGTCAACGCCGCCGCCGAGGACCAGCGCCCGGCCCCGCCCGGCAGCGTCGCCGGAGCAACGGCAGGGGCGGCGGCGCAGAGCAGGTGCCTCTCCGGAGCGGCGGGCTGCGCGGGCCGCGAAGGCGGCGCTTGGCGGGCGGCTCCGGTGCAGCGGCGGGCGGACGGGCTGGGCGGGCGGGGTCAGGCGCCGCGTGCTCAGCCCTCCTCTCCCCGCAGCCCCGGCCGGGACCGCGCCCTTCCCGCAGGCCCATCGCTCCCGGCGCCATGCAGGGGCGGCCCCCCTGAGCCCGCGGCCGGCATCCTCCTCGCCCGGGCGGCGGCCAGGATGGCGGGCGACTGAGCGGAGCCGCGGCCGGCAGGAGAAGCAGGGCGGCAGCGGCGGCGGAGCGATGCCCCCCGGACCCCGCCCCGCCTGCTCCCCCAGATAGCTCTCCGCCCAGCAGGTAGGTGGCGGCGGGAGATGGAACGCGCGCGGCTGCCCGGCGGGATCCGGCGGCGCGGAGGAGCCGGGGCTGCGTCCCTGCCGGCCCTGCTTGCTTGCTTGCGCCCCGCCCGGCTCCTCCCGGGGGTGGAAACGGCCCATCCCGGCCCGTCTGGAGCCACCCGGGGCCCCCTTTGCTCCGGCTGGGCCCAGCAGGGTGGGGGGGGAGGCCGTCCCTAGCCCCTCTCCCCGCGCCCCCCTTGTTTTCTTCGGAATCGGGTCGACCGCAAGGTGGCTGGGTGCTCCGGGTGGGGAAGGCCCGGCGCTCTGCACGGGCTCAGAGGCGGCCTGGTTCCTCGCGCCTCTCTTGCTAAGGCGGCCTCTTTCCCGCAGCAGCGCCCCCTCCGGGCGCCCCCGGCCCGCCTTTCGCCGGCCCGCGGAAGATGAATGCCAGCCCCCACGAAGCCCTGATCTCCGCCTTCCTGCAGTTCATCGAGGCGCGGGGCCGCTGGTGCTACGGGGCGCTGAGCCAGACCTGCCGCCCCCAGGAGCTGCGGCTGCGGAGCGACATGAACCTCCTCCACCGGAAGAGCGGCAAGGTGGAGTGGAAGCAGCCGCCGGAGGCCAAGGGCGAGGAGTCCAAGCGGGGGTGAGCGCTCCCCTCCGGGGCTGGGTGGGGAAGGAAGAAACGCCCCCCCCCGTCCCCTCCCCCTGTGCAGGCGAGGGAGGGGAAGGGGCTCCGGACGGGGTGGGCGATGCAGAACCTGGGGAGGGGTCCCGAATGCAGGAAGGGACCCCCTTCCTGGGAGAAAGGAGGGGGCTCTTCCCAAGCACCCCGTCAGCTGGGCCCTGTGCTGTTTCAGCCCCCTGGTGGATTGGGTCCTGGCCCGTCTTGGCCCTTAGCCTGTTCTTCCGTTAGCCCACAAACTGCCCAGGGAGCCCACCCGTGTCCGAGGGCCTCCCTGTAGGGGCCCACCCCCATCTCCGGGTCGAGGGATGCTTTGCTGTGTAGAGCATTCAACTCTGCAGGCGTGTTAACCAAAACTGGGGAGGGGGCCAGCTTTTCAAAGGGGTCTGAATATCATTGACACCTCCGTGGGTCTGAGTAGCCCTTCCAGAGCCCTGTAGGGTGAGAGATTTGCCCCAAATCTGGTTTGGCTGCTTTTGTGTGCGTAAGGAGGGGATCGGGGCCAAGTCAAAAGTATTGGGGAAAAAACTCAGTGTAACTTACCGGAATGAATGCCCAGAATAAACCGGGAATAGGTCCGTCTCTGGCAGAATAAAGGAAGGTCTTATTTGATCACAAGGACTGTTGTTTGTGATGCCGTTTCTTTGCTTTATGGGTTTTCTGCCACAATTTGCACTGCACACAGATCAGGGGCGAACAACTGCAGCAACTTCACCAGCTGTGGACCTCGACTCCCAAAATCCCTGAGCCCCCCGCAAGTCCACAGGTCCTAAAGTTGTTGTCCGCCTCTAGCATAGATGAGGGGCCTGGGTTGATGGCTTGCTGAGGACAATTAACCAGGTTAATCCTTTCTGCTGATTTGGAAGGGCCCGTTGTCTTCAGCGAAGGTGTAGCTGTGATGCTCCTATCGTGGTTTGATCCTGTAATGCAAATGTCCCCAACCTTGCCCACTTTAAGACTTGTGGACTTCAACTCCCAGAATTCCCCAGCCAGCAATGCTGGCTGGGGAATTCTGGGAGTTGAAGTCCACAAGTCTTAAAGTGGGCAAGGTTGGACACCCCTGCTGTAATGTGAGAACGGCTCTTTTGGAAAGCCGAGCGTATTGTGGCAATTTAGAACATTTTGGTTTTTCATTGAGTGAGTGACAAACGGGCACCTGGTTGTAAATTCTGATTTTGAATGGATTTGCAACCGATTTCCTGCCAGGCTTATTATGGTGCCTCAGCCGGTGTACGCTGAAGTCCACGTCCCGCGTGATTCTCCTGGTTATCTGAGTTCTGCTGTCCGTCTTAAGGAGTGGGGCTCTGCTGTGGGCAATGGGCTGTGGATTGTGGTCTTTGCAGCAGAGAAACCCAAATCTCCTCTTGGTTGTGGGTCACGGTTTGGGCTTGTCGGCTTGCGTATATCTTTCTTGCTTGGGATAAACTGCGTCGGACCAGGGTAGAAACGTAGGAAACGCATGGCAGAAAAACAGCCAATGGTCCCTTCACTGTCTGTTGAGTTTGTTTTTTGGTTTCTTATTTACTTGCTTGCTTACTTATTTAGTGTTTTGTGTGTGTGTGTGCACACACACACATACGTAAATATACACCCATGTATATAAACTGGTACATATGTAGGTCTTTGGTTGTTCGGGTTTTCTCCCGCGTAAAATTGGAAGTGTCTTGGCGACGTTTCGACAAAGTCCCATTCGTCATCTTCAGGCTGGTGCTTTCAGCTTTGTGCTTCAAGGAGCAAGTACATATATGTTTGTTTGTTTGTTAATTGCGAAGTCGTGTCCGACCCATCGCGATCCCATGGACAACATTCCTCCAGGTCTTCCTGTCCTCTACCATCTTCTGGAGTCCATTTAAATTCACACCTACTGCTTCAGTGACTCCATCCAGCCATCTCATTCTCTGTCGTCCCCTTCTTCTATTGCCCTCAATCTTTCCCAGCATTAGGCTCTTCTCCAGTGAATCCTTCCTTCTCATCTTCCTTCTCATTAGGTGGCCATTATGTATATATATATACATACACACATACACACAGAGAGATAGATAGGTAGGTAGGTAGGTAGGTAGGTAGGTAGGTAGGTAGATAGATAGATAGATAGATAGATAGATAGATAGATAGATAGATAGATAGATAGATAGATAGATAGATAGATGCAGGCAGGCAGATAATGGATACGTGGATAGATGGATAGATGGATAGATAGATGGATATGGAGATGATAGATGAGAGAGAGAGATGTATATACTTTTAATTTTTGTTAAATGATGGACATGTGTTTACCCCAGGATCTTTGAAATGAATGGCCTGTTTTGGAGCGGTAAGGATCACAAAAGGGTGGGGGGCGAGGCCTGTGTTGAAGCCCCCGCTGTGGGCTCTGTTTGCAAAGAGGGGGGGGCGGGGGGAGGCTCAGCCCACTTGTGAATTCACCAACCTGCCCAGATGGCCTGCCAAAGTCACTCTCTTTGGGGATGTGTGTGGAGGTCAGTCTGCAGCTGACCTGGTCAGCAAAGCCCTGCGCTTCTCTTTCTGTCTCTTTGTGCCCGCTTGGAACTGTCTCCCCTCCCTTCATGCCATCCTAGAAGTTAGGGGGGGCTTTGGGTTAGAATAGTTATGTTCCCCCCTTTTTTTCTTCTCTCTCTCTCTCTTTCTTTCTCTCTCTCTCTCTCTCTCTCTCTCTGTCTCTCTCTGGGGAAAAACATTACGGAGGCTTTTGGGAAGGGATAAGGTGGCCTCACCTGTCTTTGAGGGCCTGAAACAAAGCCCAGGTGGTCCTCGGCTAACGACCACAATTGAGCCCCCAAATTTATGTTGGTAAGTGAGACATTTGTTAAGTGAGTTTTGTCCCATTTTACGACCTTTCTTGCCACAGTTGATAAGTCGGTAACACGGCCGTTAAGTGAACCTGGCTTCCCCCTTGATTTTGCTTGTTGGAAGACCGCAAAAGGGGAACACGTGATCCCCCCCCCCGGGACACGGCGACCGTCATAAATGTGACTCAGTTGCCGGCTGTCCGAGTTTTGATCACGTGGCCCTGGGGAGGCTGCGACAGCTGTAAGTGTGAAAAAAGGTCCTAATTCACTTTTTTCAGTGATGTTGTAACTTTGAACGGTCACTAAATGAACTGTTGTAAGTCGAGAATAGATTGTACCACAGGCAGCCCCCCTTCTGACAGTCCCTGGGGCAGGGGTGGGCAACCTGGGCTCTTTTATGACTTCTGGACTTCAACTCCCAGAATTCCTGAGCCAGTGTGGGGGAACTATGGCTCCCTTGATGACTAGTGGACTTCAACTCCCAGAATTCCTAAGCCAGCGTGAGGAAAATATGGCCCCTTCATGACTCGTGGGCTTCAACTCCCAGAATTCCTGAGCCAGCATGGGGGAAACTTTGGCCCCCTTCATGACTGGTAGACTTCAACTCCCAGAATTCCTGAGCCAGCATGGCTCAGCTTGGAAACCTCTCCCTTTCCCCTCAGCATGGCTGCCTCAGGAATTCTGGGAGTTGAAGTTCAGAAGTCATCAAGGGGGCCAAAGTTTCCCCCATGCTGGCTCAGGAATTCTGGGAGTTGAAGTCCACGACTCCTAAAGGGGGTCATAGTTCCCCCATGCTGGCTCAGGAATTCTGGGAGTTGAAGTCCAGAAGTCCTAAAAGAGCCCAGGTTGCCCACCCCTGCCCTGGAGGAATGAATTGACTCCGGAGAGGCACAGACGGGGCTCCTCCTTGGTGGGGCCCTGCCCTGCTCACCCAGCCCCCTTCCCTTTACCCCTTTCCTCCCCCAGAGTGTCTCCGCGTGGGGCCCCTTAAGAAGCACCCCGAGATGGTAACTTCCCCGGGGCCTTGGGGCCTTTGGAGAGGTGGGCTGGCAGAAGAGGCGAGAACAGGAGCCTCAGAAGCTGGCCAGTTCTGGGGGAAAAGGCTTTCTGCAGTTAGCCTTTAAGCAATTATTTTATTTTCCACACAATCTGGGTTGATCTGAACAAAGCGCTTCTAAAATGGGGGGGGGGAGCGGAGAGGCTTAACCCCAGGTAGGACCTTGATGAATTGTGCAATTTGTCAAAGGCTTTTCTGCCATTTTGCTTCTCGGGGAACTGCTGGGATGTATGCTTGCTGAAGACGCGGGGGGGGGGAGGGTGGGGGGGCTGCTCTTAAGGGCTTCAGCTGCAAAATGTTCCTTCTGCCACAGGGCTGGGCAGATAGAGGGGCCGGCTTCTGCCTGGACTGTCGTAGTAGGAACCGATAAAGGAGAATATTTGTAACTCAGGATTGAGATGAGGGGCCTCTGAGCTTGGCCGTTTTTCTCACAGACCTTTCATGACCCAACTAGGTAACATTGTCAGTGTTAGAAGGGAGGGGGGGTTTGTGAAGAGAAGGAGGAGGAGGAGGTGGAAGAAGAAGTAGAAGAAGAAGTAGAAGAAGAAGAAGAAGAAGAAGAAGAAACAACAACTGTGGGGTCCTTGGTGCTCTCTCAGCTTGACAGTTTCTTTGCAGACGTTTCATGGCCCAACTAGGTAACATCATCAGTGCTAGAAAAGAGTAGGAGGGGTTCTTGGTGGTCTCTGAGCTGGGTTCTTTTCTTGCAGACGTTTCATGACCCAGCTAGGGCACGTCATCAGTGCTGGTAGGGGATGGGGTTACGACCCACGTGTTGGCACTCTGGCTAAATCAGCCATCAACAGACACCCAGACACAATATCTACCAACTATGCAGAAGAGGTAATCAACAAGCCCCAAAGGGACCCAGAAGGTCAAAGCCCCTCCCCCACCAGCAACCCACCCCCAGGTGAGCAGAGATGAACTCCCAGGTTAGACCAACAATCCAGAAGTAAAGCAGGGCAAAAGTAAACAGCCCAAGCAGACAACACCCCCCCCCCCAGGGCCACAACCCCACAACCAGCACTGAGGTGGCGCAGCAGTTAGGGTGCAAGTACTGCAGGCCACTTTAGCTGACTGTGTTCAGCAGGTCAGCAGTTCAAATCTCACCGGCTCAGCCTTCCATCCTTCCGGGGTAGGTAAAAGGAGGACCCAGATTGTTGGGGGCAATGTAAATATATATATACATTGCTTACTGGTATACACCGCTTAGAGAGTGCTTGCACTTAAAGCGGTATATAAGTCTCATAAATAAAATAAATAAATAAAATAAACAGCAGCTGAGAGCAAGCCCCACACCCTGCTGGCAGGGGTGGTGTTCCTTAACTGGGTCACGAAACGTCCGCAAGGAAACAACAAAAGCTCAGATAACACCAAGGATGTCTTGGGAACAGCCGCCGCCTCTAGCGGCGAGGCAGGTTGGAGCCACTTAGAGGGTCCTTGAGGCAGTGGGCCCCCTCACCAGTCGAGGAGAGAAGCAACCTGGAGGTTAGGAGAAACTTCTGGACAGTGAGAACGATTAACCAGTGGAACGACTTGCCTCCAGACGTTGTGGCTGCTCCGTCACTGGTGGCTTTCAAGAGGAGATTAGACCACCATTGGTCTGGAATGGTGGAGGGTCTCCTCTTTGAGCAGGGGGTTGGACTAGATGGCCAGCGAGCTCCCTTCCCACTCTGGGGTTCTGTCAGGCGTTTCACCTTCTCTGCGTTGGAGCAAAACTGCAACTCTGCCTTCCCAGCTCTGTTATTCTGTTGTTCTACCTTCGACTCTTCAGCCGGGCATTACAAAAGCTTTCCAAAAGCCAACAAGCCATCATGGTTTGAAGCAACAGGGCAACGAAAGGTGATCAAAAGCAAGGCCCCCAGGTGCATAGAGGCCCCCGGTTGGCTGCAGCGGTCTAGTTTCAGGATGACATCCAACAGGTGATGATGATTAGGGGACTGGAGGCTAAAACATATAAGGAACGGTTGCTAGAATTGGGGATGTCTAGTTTAACGAAGAGAAGGACAAGGGGGGACATGATAGCAGTGTTCCAGTATCTCAGGGGCTGCCATAAAGAAGAGGGAATTAAGCTATTTTCCAAAGCACCTGAAGGCAGGACAAGAAGCAACGGATGGAAACCAATCAAGGAGAGAAGCAACCTCGAACTAAGGAGAAACTTCCTGACAGTGAGAACAATTAACCAGTGGAACAACCTGCCTCCAGAAGCGGTGAATGCGCCAACACTGGAAGTTTTTAAGAAGAGACTGGACAGCCATTTGTCCAAAATGGTGTAGAGTTTCCTGCCTGAGCAGGGGGTTGGACTAGATGACCTCCAAGGTCCCTTCCAACTTTACTACTATTACTAATAGGTGAAGGCCACCTGGAAATTGGCCGGAAGGGATTTCGGCCTCTGGTGGGAATCCTTAGCCTGGCTGGGTTAGTTTTGTGTGAACGCAGCTTGACACTTTGTAATCCTCCGAGGGTTCGGCAAGAAGTGGCTCTAGGGGTCTTGGGTTGAAATGGGCCTCGTGGTGTCATAACGGTGTGTGTGTGTGTGTGTGTGTGTGTAGCAATGTGGATCCGGTGCTGAGCCTAAGGAAGTCGATTGAGTCATGGAAGGGGTGGCCTCATCAGCCTGTGGTCATCTGGGCGTCATGTATTGTGAAGACAGGGCTGGTGGTCAGTTCCTTTCACCAGTCATAGGTTAAGGCAGTGGTTCTCAACCTGTGGGTCGGGAGCCCATTTGGGGTCGAACGACCATTTCACGGGGGTCGCCAAACAACGCAGTCCGCCATTTCCCCCCCCCCTTCCTTAGCTGTGCTACTCCCTTTTATTCTACTAGCTTTTGAAAGCCAATAGAATAGATTTTCTTAAATAGAGTCTAATTCTATTGGCTTTCCAAAGCCAATAGGAATTGTCCCGGCTGTCTCTGCCCTGCTGAGCCCGCCAAAAGTCCCATTCTGCAAACGGTGCTGCACCAGTTGAGTAGTCCTCGACTTACGACCGGTTGAGTAGTCCTCGACTTACGACCGGTTGGGGGGTCGCGGCATTAAAAAGGTTGAGAACCATTGGGTTAAGTCATAGAATCAAATGCTGGGAAGTGATCCGAAAGGGTAGCAAGTCGTAGCAGGATCAGCCAATTAAAGATGAATCAACTAAAGAGCTGTGGTGGGAAAGCAGTATTGCAGGCTAACTCTGCCCACTGCCAGCATTTCGATCTTGACCGACTCAAGCTGGACTGAAGGTGCTCGAGGCTGGCTGGGGAATTCTGGGAGTTGAAGTCCACCCATCTTAAATTTGCCAAGTGTAAGCCATCCCCATTAGAGGACTACCCAACCTCTAAATATGGATGGCTTGAGTTGGGTCAGGGAAGGGATAGTAATCAGCAACTCAGCTTCCGACTGGCGATCCTTTGCAGCTTTCCCAGCTGCCCTCCTGCAGAACGTGGGGCCCTGTCTGTGGGTCGAGACCCCCGGGTGCTTGCAACTGGAAAGCCCACTCGGAGGTCAAGGGGGGGGTCTTTACTCCAAAGGCTCTTGACCAGCAGGATAGACTCCCTGGCCAACTGGAATTGTTCCTAGGGGCCTCCTTGTGGGTCTGTCCTTTGGGGGTGGGTGGAAGACCCAAAGCACCAGGCCCTCCATCGACTTCCAGACACTTTCCACCAAGCCTTGGAGCAAGGGGTGTTTGAGGGCCCAGGGGGCAAGGGGATGGGGGCTCACGGGGGAAGATGCCCATCAGGTGTTGGGTGCCAGTGGTTTAACGTGTGTGGGGTGCCAATGGTGGGTTTGGGGCCTCGGGGCAGCTTCTCCTGTGCCAACCACGCTGGGAGCAAGCCCCCCCCCTTTGTACTTTCAGTTCAGACCTGTGCTGGTGGGGAATTCTGGGAGTTGAAGTCCAGCTGTCTTAAAGTTACCGAGATTGAGAGAGAATGGGGCTTCATTGTTGCGTGTTTGTTGTGTCTTCGGTTTGTGGGGTGCTTTCCAAGGGGGAGGTGGCCTGGGGGCGCCCGAAGGAACATGAGCCCCTCGGTCTCCCCTCTTGTGTGTCCCCCCCCTCCCTTCCTAGCTGGCAGCTTGCAAGGGGTTAAGGCGCCAGCAGGCTGATGTTGCTGGCTCCTGCAGGTCACCCAGACACAGTTTCCATGGAAACGGCTGGGCCATCAGCCAGCATCCTGCTGCATCCTCATGCTTTTGGTACCCAGGACCCTTCACTCCTGCGAATAAAACCTGGGGAGGGGGTGGGGAACGGGAGCGATTTCCAAACCTGCCAGCTGGGAGGGGCGGGGAGGGGCAGGGGAAGGAAAGGGCTCTTCCGGCATGGATGCTGAGAGAAGGGAAGGGGCCTTGCGTGGCCTGGCCTGGTGGGGGGGAGAAAGCCGGCCCAAACGCCACTGTCTGGGGCCTCTTGCTGGAAGAGTCTCTGGTGGGCTGCTTCTTCTCAGGGTCTGCACTGGTACAAGACGAGGAAGCTGCCTTAAGATGTCGCCAGGGTAGGCAACCTCGGCTCTTTTATGACTCGTGGACTTCAACTCCCAGAATTCCTGAGCCAGCATAGCTGGCTCAGGAATTCTGGGGGTTGAAGTCCACGAGTCATAAAAGAGCCGAGGTTGCCTGCTAGGGGGTGACTTTGCATCGCACTAAGCCGGAACGTTTTGTGGCTGTTTGGGCACTGTGTAGGTCTGGAATGCGGCCCTCGTGTCGTATTAACCCAGTTTCGTGTCTTGCGTGAATCGGGCCAGGGAATCGGGTGGTTTGGGCAGGTTCGGCGGCCCAAAAGAGGGGTCTGCCCAGGAGCTGACCCTGTGCAGCCCCTTCCTCTTTCTCTAGCCTCTTCCGGGCCTGACCCAAGGGTGTAGGAGTCTCCATGGGAATGGCCAAGACCTTCCTTGCCTGGGCTGGGCCCCCACCCAGCTCCGACGGGTGTGGGGGGTGCCAGACTGCTTGGCAAGGCCCGCTGTCTCCGGAGCAGGGAACAGTGGAGACTTCTTCCCTTGCCCAGCAGCGTCTGCCAGGGTGCGAGGAGAGACGGGGCTGGGGGACAGGAGGGGGGGACAGGAGGGGCACTTGGCCCGCCATTCTTGCTCCCGAGGACTTGCCAGCTGCAAGCTGAGGTGCCAAAGCGTCTTTCTCTGCTGTCTGTCACTGGCAAGGATGCCAGGTGGACGAGGGGCCACGGAGACGGTTTCTGAGGCTGTGGATTAGGCTCGGATGGTGGGGGTCTTGAGTGTGGAATTGCACCGATCCAGCTTCCCTGCCCTGCTTGTCCGACTGACGTGCTCAAAGCCGCTTGAGATCCAGGCTTGATCTGCCGGTGAAGCACAAACAGATCCCATGTTTGTTTACAACAAGAGCGTCCAACCTTGGCGACATGAAGGCTGGTGGACTTCAACTCCCAGAAAATTCCCCAGACATTATTCTGAGAATCGAAGCCCACACGTCTTAAAGTTGCCATGATTGGCGACCCCTGGAGCCAGGAAGCGGGTTTAGCACCGACAGTCCAGGATGCAAACGTGATTTCTTGGCCATCCCATTAACTGGCTTTGGCATTATAGCCGAGAGGCTTCTGGATCCCGTGAAGCAGCTCCTGTGATTTTGGCCAAGGGGCACCAGAGCCTCGCTTAACAACCGTCGCAGCGTCCCCCGCAGTCACGTGATCAAAATTCAGACGCTTGGAAACTGGCTCGTGTTTACGACGGTCACATCATTCCGGGGAGGGGGTCACGTGATCCCCTTTTGAGACCTTCTGACACGCAAAAGTCAGTGGGGAGTCGGAGGTTACTAACTTAAGAACTGCAGGGATTCATTTAACAACCGAGGCGAGGAAAGTCGTAAAATGGGGCGAAGTTCAGTCAACAAATGTCTCACATAGGAAGAGAAATTTTAGGCTAATCCATTGTGGTCGTAAGTCGAGGAGGTACGTAACGATGGAGCCCCGATGCAAGGCCACTCAGCGCCCGTGCCCTCTCCCCTCCTCTCCCCTCCTGCAGATCGACCAAGGAGACGGGCGTGGGGAAGGTGCGCGACGTGGCCTCCTTCCGCCGGCATTTCAGGATGGGGTTCATGACCATGCCAGCCTCCCAGGAGCACGCCCCGCACCCTTGTGCCAGCAGCATGGCGCCCCGCTCTCTCTCGTGCCACTCTGTGGGCAGTGTGGACAGCGGCCCTGCGGACGGGGCGATGGGTTCTCGCAAGCCGCCCGCGAAGCCGAAGCGGCACCCCAGCACGAAGCTCAGCACAGAGGCCCGGAGTGCCCTGGAGCTGATGGGAAGCAAGAAAGGAGGTGAGGAGGTGCTTCGGAGGCCTTTCTGGGGGGGGGGTTGGAGAGAAGCCTGGCCCGCAGCCTCTGAGGCTCACCTTGTGGCTTGACTACTGCCGTGGGTCCTACATGGGACCGCCCTTGAAGACTAACCACGAGCTTCAACTGGTCCAGAATGCGGCCGTGTGAGCACTGGAGGTTCTTAAGAAGAGATTGGACAAACATTGGTCTGAGATGGGTTTGCTGCCTGAGCAGGGGGTTGGACTAGATGACCTCCCAGCTCCCTCCCAGCTCCGTTATTCTACGCTGTTATTCTGGGACAGCCCCCTGGGCGTGTGGCGCGGGGCCTTCTGCCATCCTCTCCTCCCTTTCTCTGCCAGGGTGCCAGAAGGCGGGGGTGGAAAGCCGAGAGGCCGCCCGCAAGGTGCCCCCGCAGAAGCCCAAACGCAGCCCCAACACGCATCTCTCCGTGTCGTTCGACGAGACCTACTCGGGGCGCCTGCCAGGCCCAGCTGCGGGGGGCGCTCTGCAGCGCTACGGCCGTGCCGCGTCCCACGGCCAGGCCAAGGGCTCCGATGCTGAGGAGGACGAGCCGGTCTACATCGAGATGGTGGGGGACATTTTCCGGGGACCCGGCCCCCCCTCCCAAGGAGTCACCGCGGCGGAGGACGACTCGGACGAGAGCGAAGCCATTTACGAAGAAATGAAGTACCCGCTGCCTGAGGAAGGGGGGGAGCCCCGCCCCAACGGGGCCCTCGCCTCCCCTGGGCATCGACCCCCCAAGAAGGAGGCCGCCAAGGCGGCGCCAAGCAGCAAGACCTCCCCGTGTGAGATCCCAGCCCCCTTCCCCAACCTTTTGCAGCACCGCCCCCCTCTGCTGGCCTTCCCCCAGGGGAAGAAGGGGTACAGGGGTCCCGACGGCTCCAAACTGCCCATCCTGTGCCACGCCAAGGATGCCCCCTCGGCCCCCATGACCCCCCAGGTGCCCAGCCACCACCATCAGCGGGGCGGCGAGAACCCGGCCCTGGCGCCTTCCGGGCGGGCTCGCAGCCACTCCACGCCGCTGCCCCCCCAGCCGGCCAGCCAGAGCAAGCCGGACAAGGATCTGCCCGTGTCTCACAGCATGATCTGCCCCTCCGCAAAGCCGCCGCCCCCCACCCCGGCCCTGCCGGTGGCCTCTGTCCCCTCCGGGCTGCCCGGGAAAGACAAGCCAGCGGTCTCGTACACCATGGTTTACTCGGCAGTCAAGGTCACGACTCACACGGCGCCCTCCGAGCAGAAGGCGGAGGAGATCTCGGTCCTGCACGGGATGCTGTGCGCCCGCCCGTCCACCGTGCCCGCTTGCAAACAGGTGCAGCGCATTTGCACGCTGCCCGAGCCGCCCCCTCTGGGCATGGTCTGGACTTACCCGGCGCCCTGCGTGGGGCTCAAACGCCCCCCGGCCTACGAGAGCAACAAGAGCCTGGGCACCAAGTCGTCCTCGGCTGTCAAAATTCAGCTGCGGGACCGGGCGTTCGCCAGCATCCACCAGGTGGTGGCCGGGGAGGAGTGCGGCCGGCCGGCCAGTGAGGAGGAGGCCTTTGGCTGGATGCTGCAGAGGAGAACCGGCGTCCGGAAGGGGAAGGAGCCTGACAGTAAGACTGGGCGAGAGCGCGGGGGGGGCAAGAAAGGGGGAAGGGGTGCGGTGTATCTGACAGCCTGGGCCCAGGGTGGGGAAGGGGCTTTGGTCTTGACTGGAGCATGAATCGGGGGGGCGGGCTGCTCAGGAAGAGGGGGGTGCTGAAGGGAGGCAATTCTGGGTTGGGGTCTCCTCCCACCTGGGGGTATTTACTCTCCAAGGGGTTCATCTGTTCATGTAGAGTAGGGAAATTCTGTCCTTGCGCCCCGTCTTTCCAGGGCTGGGCACAGGTGGGGGGGCTGAGCCAGGCATTCTATGGATGCCCCCCCCCCTCTGCCCGTTCCTTTCCTGCCCTTGCAGAGGTCCCAGACTGCCCCCAGGCGTGGGAGGGCAGTGAAAGTGCTCAGCCCAAACTGGAGAAGGACGAGAAAGTCCTGCCAAGTCACCCGCAGTCCAGCATCCCGGTCCGCGCACCCGCCCTCGAGTGTCTGGCCGCCAAGATGCCCGGCGGCAGGACCAACCTGCCCGTCCCCTGCCAGACCTTTCCTGCCTGTCACCGCAACGGAGGTGAGTGAGCCATGTGGGGGAGGGGCTTCCTTGGGCTGGCGGGCCAGTGGGGAGGGGCAGGAGACCCCCCCCCATAGGTCTCTGGCCTGTTTGGGGCTACAGGAGGCGTCCTTCATGCAGCTGCAAAGAGGCCGGTGACCTTCAGGGGAAAGCAGACGGCAGCAGGCAAAACAGCACACAGATGCACACACAAACACACAGAACAAACCAATACAAACACACACACACACACACAATAGTTTCTCTGTTTGTCCAACGGGCAGAAGACAGAGCCTGGGAGAAATCTGCTTTATGGGGGAGTCGGATCCTTCCTGCCCCACATTACAGCCTGGCTGTTGGGGGGGCAGCTGAGGGGGGGCTTGAGGCAAAAGGACTCACGTGTCTCTTCCTTCCACCCCCCCCTTCCCAGATTTCACTGGTGGGTACCTTCTAGGCCGCTCGGCCTCCACTTCCGGCGTCCGACAAGCTGTGATCCACAATCAGAGGCTATGCAGCCATCCCAGGGACCCAGACAGCCAGGTAGGTGGGGGGGAGGGCAGGGGAGGGCAGGGGAGGGCGGCAGGAGGGGCTCCTGGAAGGGGAAACCCAGGTGAGGTTTTGGTCCCGGCGCCCCAAGAGGGCAGCCTGCCTTCTCACCTACGTTTGGCAAGTTCACACGACTGTCGAAAGTCCCCACATGACTTTAAGAGGGAAGCCAAATACTGGCAGAAGGTAGGACGTTATTTGAGGGATGGAAATAATGTCGGAAACCAACCTGGTGGAAACGGAAGATGGGGTCCTTTGGTTTTCTTGCAAATATCTCCGGACCCAGCTAGAAAAGGGTGAGCTTTGTGGGGGGGGGGAGAGGAGGAGGACAATTAAGGGGTCATTGCTCCCTGACCTCGGTTGTTTTCTTGCAGACTTTTTATTATCCAACTAGGAAACGTCGTTAATATAATGGCAATTGGTGAGCGTCATCTAGCACTGATGATGTTCTGTAGCTCGGTCATGAAACGTTTGCAAGGAAACCACCAATCTCTGAAAGACCAGGGACCCCACTGCCCTCCCCTTCCTCTCCACAAACCCTCCTTTCCAGAACTGATGACGTTCCCTAGTTGGGTCATGAAATGTCTGCAAGAAAACCACCCAGCTCAGAGAGCACTAAGAACCCCATGTTCGCCCTCTTCCCCCTCCCCTTCTTGCCCCCTTCCTTTCCATGCACACTCTTCCCTTCTAGCATTGCTGATGTTATCTCCTTGGGTCATAAAACATCTGTAACCCCCCCCCAAATTCGGAGAGCACCAAGGACCCCCAATCTGAAGCCTGAGCCACAAGTGTCCCCTTCTACTGGAAACACACCATGCAGAGAGAGGGAAGGCAGCCCCCCCCTCCTCAATTCTGCCACACTCGGCCTCAGGAGAACTGACTTGCTCAAGGCCCCCATCCGGTCTGCCCACCTGGCTCAGGGAGACGCAGGCGGAGCAGCAGCAATCCGGGCCTAAAGTGGTGCCCGGGGGGGAGGGGGGGAAGGCTGAAGGAAGGGGCACCGTCCGCCCTCGGCCGAAGGACCACGTCTCGGGTGGGCAGGCCCTTCTTTCCGAAAGCAGCTTTTGCTGGCCAAGCTGGTTCCCGCTCCCACCCAGAGCTTCTGTGTGTCTCAGAACTGGGCAGTGCCCGCTTGTGCCCGCAGCCAGATTCCCGTGGGGGAGGGAGGCGCCTGTGCCCGGCTTCTCCGGATCTGAAGCAGAGGAAGAGGGGCGAAGACCAAGGGGCTGGCAGAGCCGGCCACTTGGTCTCCTAAACACCCCCCCCCGCCCCGTTTTTGCAGGCCTTGCCGTACGCCCCCCCACTGCCCGCCCCGGAGGCCCTGCAGAGCGCGCAGGAGAGAGACGGGAAGCTGCTGGAGGTGATCGAGCGCAAACGGTGCGTCTGCAAGGAGATCAAGGCGCGGCACCGCCCAGAGCGCAGCCTCTGCAAGCAGGAGAGCATGCCCATCCTGCCCAGCTGGCGGAGGAGCACGGAGAGCCGCAAGTCGGGCACCCCGCCCTGCCGCCGCCAGCAGACGGTGCTCTGGGACACGGCCATCTGAGCGGGCAGGGGCTGAGCCCCGAGAACTGGTGCCTTGTGCCGGCCAAGCCGAACTGGTGGCAGAGCCAACCGCTGGCAGCCTGGTCTCCTGCTGGGGATGATCCGGAGATCCCGGGGTGGGGGGCGCTGGAAGGACGCTTTCTTTCAGGGCAGGGGGAGAAGCCCCTCGCCTCTACGCCGGGGGCGCCTGGGCATCGGAGGCCGGCACAGCGGCAGCCCACCGGAAGCCCCGCTCCTCCCCGCAGCATGGATGCCGAGCAAACGGTGCCGCAGGACCAGTCTTGGGGGGTCAGGGCAGGGGCTGGGGGGGTTTCTGTGTGGGGGATTCCTCTTCTGGGCCAAAAGCTGCTGGAGGGCAGGGGGTCCCCCACACCCACCCACCCCTGGGTTTTCTTCCACTTCTGAGAAGGCCCCTGGGAAAAGAGGGGTGTGCCGATTTTGGAGGTACCCCCGGTTAAAGGCCTTCCACGTTTGAAGCCGTGTGGATCTCCCGACTTGTGGTGCTGAGTTCTCAGTCTGCCAAAGCTCAGAAAGAGAAAGAGAGAAAGAAAGAAAGAAAGAAAGAAAGAAAGAAAGAAAGAAAGAAAGAAAGAGAAAGAAAGAAAGAAAGAAAGAAAGAAAGAAAGAAAGAAAGAAAAAGAAAGAAAGAAAGTGGAGCTGCAGATAAGAGTGGAGGAATCATCCCGAGTAGGCGTTTACAGGGAGTCCTCGGCTTACGATCGAAATTGACCCCAAAATTTCCGTTGCTAAGCGAGACAGTGAATTTTGCCCCATTTCACCACCTTTCCTGCCACACTTGTTAAGAGAATCACTGTGGTTGTTAAATTAGGAACACGGTTGTTAAGTGAATCCGACTTCCCCCTTTGACTTCGCTTGTCGGACGGTCGCAAAAGGGGACCAGGTGCCCCCCGGGATACCGTCATAAGTAAGAGTCAGTTGCCAAGCATCCAAATTTAGATCATTTGAACGTGGGGCGTTCTGCAACGAAAAACGGTCCTAAGTTGCTTTTTTCAAATCCGTTGTAAGTTGCGAACCGTCACTAAGTGAAAATAGCATTCTAGGCCAAACTAAAATCCTCAGATCAACTCTCTCCCCAGCCCAGCAGCCGTTTCCACCGCCTGCCACAAAAATTACAAAACACCATTTTCCAACGTGTCAAAAAAGGATGGAAAAGGAAATGGGGGGGTGGATGAAGCAATTGGTGGATAAATCACACACACACAGACACACACACCAAGGTTCCTTCCCTTTTAGAGGGGGAGGGGTTTCTTAATTCCCTAGGCTGGAAACGGGCAAATTGTGGAGTCTTTTTCACTTTTTACGAGCCGGTTTGCCAAAACCCAGGATTCTCCCCCCCCCCTCAAAAAAAGTAGAAAGCTTGAATGGAAATAAGGTGCGTTTGGCGTTGGATCTGATTTTTAAAAGAAGTCGGACAAGTGTGTTGCAGTTCACAATTTGGCAGCGAGGATGCTGCGGTTGTTAAAGCACACTGAAGTGGGTAAGTTAATTCTCTGTCCTTAGCAGGAATTTTGTGTTTTTAATGCTGGAACAGCGTTTCTCAACTTTGGTTAACTTTTAAGACGGGTGGACTTCAGCTCCCAGAATTCCCCAGCATTGCTATGGAATTCTGGGAGTTGAAGTCCACCCGTCTTAAAAGTTAACCAAAGTTGAGAAACGCCGTTCTACCCATGACAAAAAAAAAATGATCCCTCTTTTTGGGTTCTGGAGGACTCGGGAACTCCGGTGTTCCTCGCAGGTCAAACACAGGGTAGACCATGGTTTAAACTTGTGCCAAACCCCCATTCTGTGCTTGTTGTACCTGCACTCAACACCTCCCCTGGGCCAGGGCAAATCCTCCTTTCTCCAGGCGCGTCTCACCCCACTCCAGCATTGAGTAAGGGAGTCAGCCAGTCTCGGGACGGGATGGGGGAGCCGGGGGTCAGCCTCCCCCCACATTTATTTAGCATTGCTGATGGCAAAACCAATCAAGGGTCTTCCATCGTTTCAGCCGCCCAACGGCCCTTCCCGGTCCATGCCACGCCCTGAGTCCCTCCACCAGCTCTGGTGCCCACCCTGCTTTTACTCCCTGTGCCACCTAAGCTGGCGTCAGAATCGGAAGAGATCTGGAAGGGACCTTGGAGGTCTTCTAGTCCAGCCCCTTGCTCAAGCAGGAGACCCTAGACCAGTTCAGATAAGGGGCTGTCCAGTCTCTTAAGGCCAGAACAGGCACCTGGACGGTCCTTGCTTTGCGTCCAGGTGCCCCTGTTCTGACAGTGCTGAGCAAACTAGGAATTAGCGTCCTGTCTGCCACGCAAGGATTTGACCCACCTATTTGAAGTTAGCCCCTCCCCCAGTGGCTCTGGACCCCTTTAGGATTTGTCCTGCTTCCCCCCCTCCCCCAGCACCACTCAACGTGTCCATTTCTGCTTCCAATTCTGGCTTGTTAAAAGCCGCCGTTTTCTGTTAGCGTCCCAAAGACTTGGCTGGACCAGTTGCGACGCTGGCGTGAATCCGTTTTACAAATGAGGACGACGGACACAGCAGCGACATTAAATAAAAAATAAAATCCAAAACCAAAACGGCACCACGGTGGGGCACGTGGGGAACCCAGTTGGGGGACTTTTGGGTCTGATGCTCAACACCTCCCCCCCTCCCCGATTTAAATATTTCACAAGATTGTCTAGTGTAGCAAGATGAAACTGCTTTGCAAAAATATTTATGCTGGGGAATTCAAGGGAGGGTATTTATATATTAAAAAATGAAGGAAAGAAAATAAAATTGTCACGCTGGTTGCTAGTCTCTGGGTTACTTTCGTTTGCTCAAGTCTCAGCTTTGCACGGGCTGGGGGATTCTGGGAGTTGAAGTTCACCTAGCTTAAATCATGCTGGCTGGGGAATTCTGGGAGTTGAAGTCCATCCATCTTAAAGCAAGCCAATTGGGGGTTTCTGGGAGTTTAAATAGAGAAAGATCTGCTAATACAAGTAAGGAAAGAGCTCCATTTGTAGCTGAAGGCCAGCAAAGGCTGGTGGGCTAAATTATAAAATTAATTTAAAATAAATTGATTCAGGCTGAAGAATCTTTGGTGAGTCCCCTGCGATGAAGGGTGGTTAAAAGGGCTTCCTGGACATAGCAGTGGGCTCCCTGCATGGGGGGGGGGAGGGCAGAGGATGTTTTAGTGAATTCTGCACCCCTGTTCCAAGCAGTGTATACACAATTAGGATTTCTTCCACCCCTACCTGTTACTTAATAAGAATCTTAACATCTTCTGTGGAGCGTATATTAACAGGCTAAGGTGTGAGGTGCTCTGGATTGAGCTAGTGGAGTGTCAGATTTTTCCCTTCTCTTTGGAAAAGCGCTCCCACCAAGCCAAAGAAGGTAAAATGTCTGCATTCAGACCCCCAATGCAACCCCCCCAAAAAGGGATCAGGGGAGACGAGAGAAAGAAGGCAAATTTGGGGCCCATATTCCACCACCTTTTTAGGGGCATCCCTGGCCAAGAAAGTCCAAGTTCCTCGTGGATGACCTTCTGCCACTAAATGTGGTATGCTTGCTATGCCTGGAGGCCAGTGGCACGTGGCCCCCATGTCCCAGGTGGAGGGGGCAGCCACTGGCTGTCCATCTCCTTGCAAGGGGTCCTCTGAAGCCCTCCATTCAGCCAAGGTGGGAGGCAGAGGAGGAGAGAACGAGGAGGGGGGGGGGAAGTGGACTAAGCACTCTGGGTTCTGCCTGGCCCCACATCACTACAGATTGCCCCCAAGGAAATGTGGGTCATCCTGGGGAAGCATCAGCCTGCTTCTGCAAAAGTCATTGTAGAATTGGAATGGAATGAAATGGAATGGAATGGAATGGAATGGAATAGAATAGAATAGAATAGAATAGAATAGAATAGAATAGAATAGAATAGAATAGAATAGAATAGAATAGAGAATGGAATGGAATAGAGAATGGTATGGAATGGAAGAACAGAATAGAATATGGAATAGAATAGAGAATAGAATAGAATATGGAATGGAATAGAATAGAGAATGGAATGGAATAGAGAATGGTATGGAATGGAATGGAAGAACAGAATAGAATATGGAATGGAAAATGGAATAGAGAATGGAATGGAATACAATAGAATAGAACAGTGATGGCGAACCTTTTAGAGACCAAACTGCAACCCAAAACCCACTTATGCATCATCGAGTGCTGAGTGGGTGTGGCCCATTGGCTGGGTGTGGCTGCAGTGGTAATGACAGACTGGGTGGGACTAAAAAGTTCAATCAATCAATTCCAACTTTGTAAGATTGATTGACTGATTGATTGAACCTTTTTTTTTTTTTTTTGCACACGGCAGCGGAGGCCTAAAGCGAAAAGGTTTTATAAAACCCAGCTGAAGGCCTAGGACTAGGGTGATGGCACGCGTGCCCACAGAGAGGGCTCCGAGTGACGCCTCTGGCACCCGTGCCATAGGTTCGCCACCACGAATAGAATATAGAATAGAAAGAATGAAGAAGAAGAATAGAATAGAATAGAATAGAATAGAATAGAATAGAATAGAATAGAATAGAAGGGGGCGGGCTCCTTCCAGCTGGCATCTGCTTTGGCAGGGCCTTGCCCTGAAGATCTCTACTCTCCCCACAAGGCTACCAGATCCTATGCCACCCACTGGATGCCAGTGCTTCAACTGTGAATACGCCAAAGGGCGCAGCCTCCCTGGGCTGGGAGAGAAACAGCCATGCCCCTCCTGCCAGCTGCCTTCCTCGCCCTTCTGCATAGGAGCATCCTGTCCCAAATGGCCCTGGCGGGGCAGGGGTGAGGGAGGGGCATTTGCTTAGGAGCGCTTCCTGGCGGCTGCCAATTCAGCCCCCTTTGGATCAGCAGAAAAACAGGCCGGCTCAAAGGGCATGCCCTCAGTCGCTCCCCTCTGCTCTCCCAGCCCCACTGAATGGCACCCTCCCCAACTGTGCTCCATCCAGGCCTGTGTGGCCATGATGACCTCAGCATCCAGTTTTGGTCACCGTGATGTAAAAAAGACGTTGAGACTCTAGAAAGAGTGCAGAGAAGAGCAACAAAGATGATCAGGGGGCTGGAGGCTAAAACATATAAGGAACGGTTGCTGGAATTGGGTATGTCTAGTTTAACGAAGAGAAGGACGAGGGGGGACAGGATAGGGGGGACATGATAGCAGTATTCCAATATCTCAGGGGCTGCCCCAAAGAAGAGGGAGTCAAGCTATCCTCCAAAGCGCCTGAAGGCAGGACAAGAAGCAACGGATTGAAACTAAAGGAGAGAAGCAACCTAGAACTAAGGAGAAACTTCCTGACAG